ACCCACTTGGTTTTAAATGTTGGTCCCAGTAGAATGCTCCAGTGGGACTAACAGTTGAACCGCCTGGACCAATGGCAAAAAAAATGGCGGCACTGCGTTTATGGAGTATAATTTATGTTTATTCCACTTTAATCAGCGCTGAAGAACACAGTATGTTATTCATGCAACACACACACACACATATATACATACGCACTATTAATTCAAAGTAAAACACCGCAAACACTGACTGCCCGCGCTACACTACAGAGAACGGACTATCGGGTATATATAGCACAGTATTTTGACCTCCCATCTAGTGCCAGTGGGCGAGTTTTAGTCGGCTTAAAAACACAATAAACATTGACACCGTAACGCAAAAATTTACATGGGCTAATTCGTAGCACCGATGCGCACCGATCTTTTAATATGGATCCATCTAATTTTCAACATGGCTCCAGCCCGAGACTACGAATTATCAGCTGGCTTTCAATTATGTCGGCTGAACCAGCATTCGCAGTGCTGATGCACGAGTCCGCAAACACAAACATAGCAGCGGCGCTCATGCAGGAAAGCCGGCGAAGCAGCCAGGCGCCTCGCCGTTGCGATACCGTGTCGGCTTGCCGACGGCGTCGCGAGGCTTAAAACGAGTACGGCTTAACGACCACCGGCGATCACAACATGCGGCTCGCGTGGAATTTTCGTCGTCGTTTTTTTATAGTCACAAATGAACAATAAGTAAGTGTCCCATGTTCGCGGTGTCTTACCGAGTGATGTAGATATCTGTATACTTACAGCGATGACACCGTTCGCAGGCACGGTTCTTTCATCGTGCTGGTAAGTCGCTCCCTGTGTACCGCCGGCCGCACGATTAGTCGTATCCGCGATCGCCTTCACGTTTGATGTTTGACAACGATTGTCGCATGGAGAAAAAGACACAAGTTTGTCTGAGCTTTAACGCAGGAGATATTATTTTTTGCGAAAGAAATTGTATTCGACGTTTCCTTCGCGTGTGCCGGCAATGCACTCACACCGGCAGCCAGCTTGATACCGATGACGTGCAAAGCCTACTTTTTCTATATATCGCTTTGAAGTTGTGGCCAGTGACTGTGCGGGTACACTACCGCTGACGAACTGCCCACTTTTATTAGCTTTGTCAGTGTACTTCGCAGTTCTAACTAATTGAGCACATTGAAGCGATCGAGTTATCCGCATTGCCCGTGTTCGCGGAGACTTTCACTTGATTTCGGCCCGCCCGTGCCGGCACGGTGGAAACGCGAGGGCGCTTGCTGTGTGCACTGACTGCGCATTGTACTTGCCTCTCATAACATCTTCTATTCATTTCATAGTGCTTCGCTTTCACAGTCGCGTAGAACCGATATAACTTGTTTTCAGGATCGCCGACCGCGTCGAGCATTGCAGTGCAGCATCGACAGAAGGCGATCGCCGCGCAGTTGCCCTCCCCGTTGGTCCCTTCATTGCCGGGCGTTTGCGCACGACACGCGCTGTCACGCACTTAGTCCCTGTTGAACGAACTGTTCGTCCGTTGGTTTAACGACTGCAGTTAGTCCAACTTTGCCGAATTTCGGCTTAGAGTGTGGAATGGGAGGCGGGCCGTAGAGGCGACACTGAACGGCGACCTGGCGAAGGCGACCTGCGGCGAGACGTACGGGAATTCCCAGGCATGTCCGTATGGTAAGTAGGTGACGGTGAACGGTAATAGGACGATCGGGGGGGTGGCCGTAAGTAGTTCATGGTCGGACGGAAGCTTCGATGTTCTTCGGGAGCGTAGCCGCGTTGCTCGTCTTGTTGGCGCCTTCGACAAAACCGAGCGATATGTCCTCGATAGCCGCAGTAGTAACAGATTGGTCGAGGTGGGCGCTGAGGTGCGTAGTAAGGTGGTGCACGCACTGGCGGTGATAACGAAGCCACAGGCGTATGGTCTGCTGTTGTAGGCACAGAAACGGTGGGTGCGGCAGAGAGCGCGGCAACTTCGGCGTACGTGCGCGTCTGGCGCACGCAGGGACTGTTGGAACACGTCGCACGCGATGCGGAGGCGATCTCTTGTTTAATCAGGTCTCGCAAGCTATCTTTTTCAGGAGGTGAAGTAACTTCCGCAGCACAGGAAGAGCAGCGCCCGTGCAGCTCTTCACGAACGATGTCGCGAATAAGCGCACGCAAGTCGAGGGGTGCAGGCAAAGGAACGTCGGTGGCATCGTAGCAAAGGCGAAGAGACTGAAGCTCGTCAAGTCGCTGACAGATGGTTATCACGTCCTGGGTGGTGGCAGGATTTTGCGTGGCGAGGGCGTTAAAGGCGACGGTGTTAATGCCTTTAATAACGTGGCGTATTTGGTCGTTTTGAGACATGCCGGTGTTAACGCGCTTGCACAGTGCAAGGACATCCTCAATATAAGAGGTGTAAGATTCACCCGGCAGCTGCGTGCGTTGAGCGAGTTTCTTCTTTGCTGCCTCAGTGCGAACTGCAGGGGCACCAAATACCTGACGAATTTGCTGCTCGAAAGTGTCCCAGTCGGGAAGATCTGGGTGGTGGTTCCAGAACCAAGTTTTCGCAACATCGGACAAGTAAAATGGGACGCTGCGCAACTTCTGTGGATTGTCCCACCTGTTCAAATCGCTGACGAGGTCGTAGTTCTTGATCCAGTCTTCGACATCATCGCCTCGGAGACCGGAAAACACAGGTGGATCACGCAGGCGAGTGTTGTTGGGCGGAGCGTGTGGCGGTGGCTGCAGTAGGACGGCGACGTTGGATGGGCCAGGGTTTTCTTGGGCCGCCATGGCAGGGGGTTGTACGCGACGACCCGAGCGGAGCTCCAGCGAGAACGGGCGAGAGGACTTGAGGGAACGAAAAGCACAGTCCACCACTTGTGAGGAACCGGTTTATTCGGCCAGGCTCGAGCTCAATCACGCCGGTGATGATATTCTTAGATGAAGAAGATGTACAGGTGATGATGATTACAAAGAGAATAAAGAGTCATTCGCTTGTCGCGCTCACAATATGTACATTCTTCAGCACTCGTGATGGCCAGATGTGTTTACGAACCATTTTTGGGAACCACACTCACTAGCTTCCGTATCTCACTGACATATTGAATGTTTTTTTTTTTTTCAGGAAAACGGAAAACGCCCGTATCGTTCACACATTACACTTGTACACAGGGGTGCGGCCAAGATGCTGGCTACAGGAATTTGAACCCCTTAGAAAAAACTTTTACATTTTGTATGTGAAGACATACGCACACATGTGCCAGCATATTCACGACCTTAAATAAAAAAAACTCAAAGCCCCCCCCCCCCCCCCCCCCCACCCTACCCCCGCCCGCTCTCACGTCCCTAATAAATTTCTGGCTACGCCCCTGTTTATTCCATAAGCTGCGGTAACTCGACATCAAAGAACACGTATATCGGCATACATAATTTGCCATGGTACTAAACTTATTCTGATTTATTCTGATTTATTTTTGCAGCCACCCACCAAACAGCGATTAGGAATGGTCTTTTTTAGTCTCTTCGTGGCTTATGTTCCGCCTAATTTTTTCGTGCAGCCATTTTACGCAACGAAGTGAGCTCAACTTTGACTGGATTCATCGTACCGCATTAATGGAAAGGGAAAAGGCAAATCGCTGTTTAAAATATTGTGGCCTTGAGTGAAGTATCTCCCAGAAAAGAAGCAGCAAAAGGCTTCGTTGAAAGGTGGATCGACTCGTCTTTTGCAAATGGAGGAGTTGCGGGCACGTCTTGGGCTTACCAGGCACGCCGATTGCACTGACGTTTAAAGGATGATTCACGGTCTGACGTAGTACCAGCACTCACGTTCAGGCACAGAAGTTGTGCCTTCGAAACAAAGTGCACCGCTTATATGGTGCGATGACATTCTTTATTCTTTATTCGAAGTATACCTGCAGCGCCCGAAGGCGTTATAGCAGGGGGGTTACTGATTCGAAAAAAAAACAAATTTTCATTTACAGCAGACACTTGTACACTTGTGAGCCCATTCCACTCATGTATTGTTCTGACAAAAAAAAAAGAATTTGCAAAAATTCCAGTCCTGGGATGGCATTCCCTCAGTTTAAAAGGATGATCAATTCGATTTGACAAATAATACGACGGCGTCTGTAAATACATATCCTTATTGATTCCAGTTTTATTATTAAATATTAGATATAAAAGTTTTAAGGGCAATTTTCTTCTACGCGATGAAAGCAGCTCCCAATTCAATTCTTGTTTCATAGCGGTAGAGCTTTCCCGCCATTGATACCGTCCCAGGACGAACCTTGCCGCCCTGTTCTGTATTTTTTCTATCTTATCACTAAGATATACCTGCGCCGGATCCCACACAGCGCAGGCGTACTCTAAGACTGGTCGTACACACGTCAAAGACGCACATTCTTTAAGTCATGAATATCATTCTTTACTTTCGTTCGCATGTTCCTCCGGAGTCGACCAAGAGGAATTAAAAGGTAATGATGTGAATGATGTAAATTTAAATGTAACGTAAAGCGGAGCCAACGGTGGAACTACGTTTGACGTTGACTCAGCATGACGTCTGCATTTCGAGGCCAGTGGTAGAATTGATTGCCACGCAGAATGCTTGGGTTCAATTCTGGCTGGGTTCCCAACTTTCATTGTTTGCATTCATAAGGTCTGCGCTGCCGGTGTCGGTTTCTTTTTTAACGCTCTCGAATTCGAATTATCAATGTCCGCTCTCGCCGTTGTTGGGTAGATGTTAACTGTCAATCAGCTGTAGTGGATACTCGAGTATCGAAACCCGTGGTATACGGGAACGTGCTACAGGTTTCTGGAGCAAAGGGTTTGACGACGTGCGTGACAGTATTTCCACGTTATTCATGTGATCATCGGACAGTCATATCGTCAAACCTTCTTATCCTTCCGGGCCAAATTCGGCCTACGCTGTGTTAACGAGGGGAACGCAGGGGCACACGGACGTAGGCGGAGATAAATACCTGTCGGTAGAACTTTTCTCAAAGTGCCTTGGGTTGGCTAATAAAATAAATGACTTTCATAAAGTAGCCCATTTTCTGCGTCGCGTGAAAGACCGTGGCTCGGCCACGCCAGTTGGGAATGCACTAAAACCTCATTAGAACAAAGCTGCTTCCTACATGAAAATAAATTCGTTATATTCGAAAGTTTGTTATAATGTTCTGTTTCTAACTTTACACCTATTGCAAGACTATTTTTCGATTACTTCGTTGTAATGAATACTTCGTTATGTGCGGATTTGTTGTATCGAGATTTGAGGGTATGATGATAAAACAGTAGACGTGGGGTAAATATGAATTAGTGACATCGACAGCATACGTACGAGAGACGGCACTCCATTCGGTCGCAGATACAAGTTGCAGGCTGCACAAGGCATGCGCAAGCGAGACCAGCTGATACCCATTTATTACTTCTTTTTGAAAACTGATTACAGCGGCAGTTTTATTGGAAAGTCATCATTATGGAATACTGTAAAAGAACTGTTCCGATATGCAGCTGTCATTAGCAGTGTACACGATCGCGTATTTAAAGGATGCGTATACTGGTATACGTCGCAAAATGAGCTATTGCAAGCGAGATGGGTTTCGTTCAGTTTCTTCTCCATTGCCGTAGTACTTACTTCAGTTGCGCATCAAGGCTTGGCGCACTCTATCAAAAAAAAAAATCCTGCGACACCTACTTCATATCATATATTAATATGAGAGCCAATAATCTTGTGAGATTATTGGATATGTACTGCATTTGTCAAACAAGATTTTTTTTTTCTATGGGTCTGTTTAGCCCACGAGGTGTTCCATTGCCTTAGTCGCCGTCTTTTTTTCCTCCTTATTTTTGGACGTCACCATTTTCAATTCTTTCTCGCTGCCTCGCCACCGTTCGCCTCTCTGACCATTACTACCCCTTGCTACCCTTTGAGGACACCACTTGCTCCAGGCCATCTTTTGTCCCGGTAGTTGTCTTCTCTTGCACCTTGCCACTTTTTGTGCCTGTAGTCGTCATCGTCCCCATCATGCCACTTTTTGTCCCTGTAATCATCATCGTCCCCATCGTGCCACTTTTTGTCCCTGTAATCATCATCGTCCCCATCATGCCACTTTTTGTCCCTGTAATCATCATCGTCCCCATCGTGCCACTTTTTGTCCCAGTGATCATCATCGTCCCCATCGTGCCACTTTTTGTCCCTGTAATCATCATCGTCCCCATCGTGCCACTTTTTGTCCCTGTAATCATCATCGTCCCCATCGTGCCACTTTTTGTCCCAGTGATCATCATCGTCCCCATCGTGCCACTTTTTGTCCCTGTAATCATCATCGTCCCCATCGTGCCACTTTTTGTCCCTAGGATCGTCGTCGTACCCTCCGTGCCACTTTTTGTCCCTGTAGTCGTCTTCACTTCCCCCGTGCCACCCGTTGTCCCACGAATCGTGGTTCCCTCCTGTGTCGCCGCCGCGAAAGGCAGCTCTTTCGTAGGCAGAGCGGCCTGCCTTGCCCGATTCGTCAGATTGGATTGTCTGCGTAGCCGATGCTTTGGTGGCGTTAGAAGAATCACTACGGTTGGCCAGTTCGCCTCCACCTCCCGGAGACACAGTTGACGGTGTTCCCGAGGTTGTCCCGTTCGGCGCACCAGCGGCTGCAGTCTGTGGCGGCGCCCACATAAAAGCGCAGAACGCAACCCCGAGCAGAACACGGGGGGCGACCATGTCCGGCTGCTGCAACAAAACAGAAGAGTTCTGAAGTTACAATCACACTGCACTCATTTAATCTACACACATGACTACCGGCAAAGTGCAAGCACTGAAAAAAAAAATAAATCGTGCGCTAAATGTGTTTTTGATGAAGCTTCCCTTAAGCAGGCGTGTCCAGCACTATATTTCGGCGGGGAATCGGAAACTCCCTTTATTTTATTTTATTTTGGCCAAAAAGAATAAAGTAACATGTGAAGTTGGCCCCGTTGCTACCACCCTGCAGAGGCGTACCAGAAATTCTTTCGGGGAGGGGGGGGGGGGGGGTTCGACCACAATTTATGTATGTTCGTGCGTATGTTTGTATGCGTGTGCGTGTATATATACTCAACAAAAACTGAAACATTTCGCAAAGGTTTAAATATTCCCCTACCCCTTGGCTACACCCATGCCTCCCTGCTTAACTTGACACCCTTTTTCAGTTGCTAGTCATTAGATGTATTACATGAAGTAGATTAGCATTTCTTTCGTTCAGGTGAAATTTTGAAGAGCAGAAGTTTGGACCAGTTCGTTGCATAGTGAGTGAAGTGAAGCACAGTAGACGGGACAACAAAAGAACAGACAAGACGAAGCGATTCACCCTGTCTCGTAATCTTTATGCATCGGTTTTATAGAAACGTTGAAAACCGCTACTGAATTCGGTATTTGGAGGTCACTATTTTTTCGGATGTTCAAATGTGATCTGATTACAAGACTTCCCTATTCGAGCCCTTCATAAAAGTTTGCTCAAGTCCTGCTGTTCTTTAAAGAGCTACAAGTCTGAGCGGCCGTGGGGTGGGTGGGTGGATTGATGGATGTAAAGCTTTATAGGTTATCCAGCCTAAGCTCAGGTGTGCAGAAATCGCTCGGTGTGCCCTTCTAGTCATGTCAGTGTGAAGGGTTGAACAGATGAAGCGAATCAATATATATATTTTTAATTTGTCGTGTATTTTTTCAGCTTTATGTTCCTTATTCTTGCGCTGTTTGCCACACCACTGAACAATGAAACGTGTGTTCACTACAGCTGCCCACACTGCATTTTTCATAGCGCTGCTTTATGTTTATGACTACCACCTTTTTATCTAACAGCTTAAGTTAATGATGAGTGTTTTAGTGGCCTTTCTAAGGTTGTGATTGGCCTGTATGTTTGCCTGTGTTGCACCTTCGTCACTCACTAGACAACACTTCGGAGTGTCTTTAACCGTTAGAGCATAGTAAGGATATGTTTTAATATATGTTGTGCATGTTTCGAATGTTGCGCATGTATTTACTACTTTGGAGTAGAAAAATAGTCCAGCAGCCAAGATGGCGGTCGTTGTATTTTTCGAACACCAAACACGTCGTCGTCCTCTACTTCGCACAACCTAGCCGCAACCCGGCAACAATATTGTACACTCCCATACTAGTGTAGTTCTGTGGAAGAGCTGAATACTCTGTCGCGCGTGCTTGCTTGCACGTGTGTGTTTGTGTGTGCGTGTGTTTAGATGTTAGCAGGACGTGCGAAGGCTCTATAGAAATGTTAGCCTCTGGTTTGAGAATATCTTAGCACACGTACGAAGAATCACCCTGTAATATGCTTGAACGTGGCCTATCAGACATTGGAACTGTGTCTGGCTTTTACCATTAAAACGGACCTCTGCCTAGTGAAAAATATCGCAGTGATCGAGTCCGGCGAGATCTGTTCCGGCAGGTACAAGTATGACCACCGCTGCAGCATTAATCCCGTCGCTGAGCCTACTTCAAACGCTCGCGGCCGAGATTCCTGACCAAAATATCACCGAGTGCCAAAGCTTTGACTAACGCCACGACACGTTTTTTTCTTTTTTTTCGTATGCATACATTATTAACTCTAAAAGCGCCCAGCAATGATATTGTGGTAGTAGCACAGTTTATAGTCTTTAAACCATGTCAGCGCCAAGCGACGAAAAAAAAAAAGTGGCCCCGTATCTGCACTTAATCTGCAAATGTCATCGAAAGACGATTGTCTTGCGTGTGGAGAGAGTGAAGAATACATTTATTTGATGTTCTGCTCAAGAAAATCGGTGAATGGTATTCTGGAGGCGCTGCGTTATAGAGTGCCTCGAGCCTGTAGCGGGGGCGAACGAGCGCATCAACTCACGTTACACGTGAGACATGACCGCCATCTGGCAGTTTTTTTTTTTTCAAAAACAAAGCACGTGGCTCTTAGGCGGATGTGCACGCCCGCCTCAGAGGGGATAAGGTGTAATACACAAGGCGACAGGTAGGTGCCACCACCGTCTCGTTTTAGCAAAGCGTCGTAAACACTCGCCTTTCCGTGTAAGCGTTGGATGGTCAGCGCAGCGTGATAAGCGCTACGGTCCTTAGTATTACTTATGTATGCCTTTTCTAGTTAAAGACGAACATGCAGAATGTATACGTGTTATGGTACCTCAGATATGCGCAATATTTGCTTTTTAAGTGTGAATACACTTTATAAGCGACCCCAAACCATCCACCGCCGTCGGCGGCGTCCGCAGTCTTCTCTCTATCTTTAAAAGAAAGAGGACTTGGCGGGCCGCAGTGCGACGCTCTACCGAATAAGCCACGGACGCGACGCTGATATCGGTGTCAGTAACGCTCCTTATATCTTTAACGCCGCTACGCGCGTCTCAACCGTGAGCTACAACGATAACACGAATAGGTGCTAATCTGTAGTGTAGTTTGTGTGTGTGTGTGTGTGTGACGCGCTCGCGATGTGTGCATTTAATGCATCTTACGAAAATCGTGAAGTGTAAATAAATAATACTTCGTATATAATGCATCTGTGTACAAATGCTTCATGACAAACAACACTTAAATTCATTAATTACACTTTAATCATCATCATCAGTAATTTAACTCCCCGAGGGTGAACATGGTTAAGTGCGAATGCACGGGGTGATTCTATCAGGGGGAGTAAAGTTAAAATCCTCTGGCATTCGCCAGTGAGTTAACGTAAACTCCACCGTGTGATCAAATAGCGATTCCCAGGAACCATTACACCATAAAGGCACCATAGTGTGATTAATAAATATAATAGTGCGAATTGATAAATACCCCTCATAGCATCACCCCGTGCATTCGCACTTAACTATGTTCACCCTCGGGGAAATGCTTGGGAGTTTTTTATTGACAATCGCACACGTATGAACGCTGATCCTTGAACAACATTGGTGGTCGCTGCGGATGGGGTCGGCCATTCGGGGTATCGGCTGGCGCTGTTTAGAATACCCACTTCGCGGTAACGGTGGACAAACAGACAAATGTACAGACAGACAGACAGACCAAAGTTTTTGCGTCGAAGGTCCCCAAGAAAGACTATCGTCTTTAAAAAAGGTGGGTAAGTGGTGGAAAAAGGTCGACAAAAAATTGCAAAGAGGCTAGAGTAACTGCCCGTAGGGACCATATACAGTTACTCTACAAGAGGCGAACGAGCGCATCGAGGCACTCCACGGGGCTAGGGCCACCCTAACGTGGCTGCGACGAAGCTTCACCCTCCAGAAGGTGAACCATGCACACGCTTATGGGTGTTGCTGCATTCATCCGCCGCATTACTAAACCCAATGCCGTAGTTCAGTGCCACTGTAGTCGCTTATTGACTCATGGTAGAGGCGGCCGCATTCTGATCTGAGCGTGCAACAAATGCATTTCTTAACTAAACTGCCCCTTCCCACACCCACAAAGAAAGACCCACACCTGACAACCCGATCGCGGCACTCCTCTTATTCGGCTTGTAAGGCACCGCACCACCTATTCTTCACTTCTCTAGTTGCTAATGTCAGAGCGTACGACACACGTCCGTTATTTTTCCTTTCCAAGCTTCGCGCTCGCCAGAAAAATACGCCATGCTGAAACTGAAAATGCCGCTCACTGACACACCCTTCCCTCATGACAAAAAAAAAAAAAAAAAACGGGCAACGCAAATTTCACATTTTATTAAATAAGCAATAAAAGTTAGAATGACGAAAGGAATATAATTTATCCGTTTGATTTTAAAAACGATGAATGCGTTCTGAGGAGATTAAGCGTATGCGAAAGTAAAACCGTAAAGCTTGGAAATCGACGGCAACACGGTCCTTTGGTAAACAAACATGGCTGCTCATCAGAAGCAGACCAGCAGCGGCGGCGGTCATACACCTCGTAAGAAAGTTCAGGTATGCTACCGATCCTTTCCGTTACCGAGTAGCTGCTTATTTTAAGGATCGAGCATCGCTTTCATGCGTAGCGCATATAACGTTTCAAGAGAGGCGACGCAGTGGATTCCCGCGAGAAGGATGATCCTAGCCCTTCATTTTGGACGGGCAAGATCGGGCTTTTTTTTTTTTTTCTTTATTAGTCGTTATTATCGAAACTGTACACCTCGGTCATTTTTCCCGTTCTCGCCATGATTTTTCTTCCGAGCAGCATAGTAGGTAAAGCCACAGCTCCCCGTACCCGTTTGTTTATTTGTTTCCGTTCGTACGCTCCGACGAGAGCTAGCTGCCGCATAGCGGCTTTCTCCACCTTGAAACGGCTCAGTTCCGCAATGCCTCCAGAGGAGCTTCAAGTGGTACAAAATAAAGGTTATATACAGTGTGCGCTATCGTAAACACGCATCATCAGACCACATCCATCGACAGCGGCGATGCTAGAACCATTTTCTAGAACACTAAAACGCAGCAACCTGAGCCGATACGAGCTACCGCGGCAGGTGCTTTCTTGGTCGTGCGCATTTCCCGTCGGCTCGAGAACGGTGAGAAAGACCGGGCGTAATAAATGTTTCGTGAGCTGTAACGTAGCGATTGTGGCAATCGCTGGACTGATATGTAAAGTGAGCGGCTTCGGCCCGCGCGATCGCCGCCGTGCATTTCCACTTTAAGCAGAGGTGGTTAGCAAATGTGCGCATCTGCTGTCATTGATTTAGAGATGTCGCTGACCTGCTTGCATTAATGTACGACGAGCGCCGTTACTGTTTCTTTTCTCTTTATTCCGTACCGAGTGGTGAATCGACGCCGTAACGCTCAGTAGCTTGTGTTTACGGAGCATTTAATTAGTGATTGTGTTGTTGTTTTTTCTTTATTTTTTAGATTAGTTTCTGACTAGGCCCCCACCAGGGCGCAAATCGGGGTAATCGCAGAACGTGATAAACTGGCCGTGCTACTAACTCGTTCGTTAGGTTTGCTGTTCAACTATTTTACTAAGTCTGTGCACGTTAAAGAACATCGGATGGCCAAAAATTCCGCAGTCCACCACTACAGCGTGTCTCATCGTCGTATCGTGGTTTTGGGACGTAAAACCACAGATGATATTATTATTATTATTATTATTATTATTATTATTATTATTATTATTATTATTATTATTATTATTATTATTATAGTACACTAAGTGAGATATATTCTGGGCCATAAAGGAGATCAAGGACGGCAGATTTAGAATATATAAAATGTCTGTGTTTTGTTACACAAGCCCTTTGAATAGCTTTGCTTTGTCTCAGTATAACATGAAGGGTCATTCTCTACTGCTAATTATGTTTTATAACTGTTATTCAGCTCTTGCTGGGCTGAGAATATAACTTATATGTTGCCATGTGCACAATTTATATAAGCAACATTCTTCCAAGACTGTGACTTTTTCTTGTTTATTTCTCTCCATAGTGATGTTTTTTTGTGTGTGGATTTGCAGAAAAAGGAAAGCAGCACTCATAAAACCGTAGTAAATTGAATGGTCTGTAACCCATTCTCACGCATTCTGTGCATTGTGTGTTCTCGGTGTTGCTATTCATATCTTACTAATCTGACTGCAACATATGCGCTATGGTGAGTCATCATAGCAGTTTCCAACAGGCCTTGTGCTTATTTGCTCTACTGTAGTATTCGGGAAAATTTGTTGAACCCTGGGCCTGATGCAACAATGGTGTATAGTTGCTATGATGATACTTTATAATATTTCTAAAATGTATTAGACAAAATATTTGCTATGAGAGTAGCTTAAGTTGACCCAGCGCAGTCATTTTCTTTAAATATATCTTAACAGTACAGCTAATTTGTTAGAGGTGCTTACACTCAGTGCTGTACGCTGCCGCTATCTCGTGTCCTACGGACTGGATGACTGTAGAAATGGAAGCATTATCTCATTGTGGGCACTAGAACACCTGTATGTACATCTGTACGTCACCTGTTACTCCATCTCAACTTACCGAGAGACTATCAAGCCACAGAGCAAAGCTTATTTACCCAAATGAAATTTCATTAATTTCTCAGATCACCGTGAGACTGATTTCCTTTGCATATCTTTTCTTCAGGGTTTCTTTCAGTATCTGTGTGCCATCTTTTGTTTTCAAAACTGTCGTGTACTTCTACACCTAGTACAAATTCATACACAAAACAATTCCTAAGCCACCGCCAGGCTCTTTACCATCTCAAGAATCTGAACTGGTGACAGTCACTTTATGCAGATTGGAGAAGGGGCTATTTTAACTACTACTTGAAAGCTTATAAACTGGTCATAAAGCATTTAGAAGCCATGCATATGTGATTATGTGCAACAGATATTATGAGCACTTATGCCTGTTTTGATGTCTAGTAATGGTTATGGTGCATGTAAAATACCTTACCTCAGATGCTTCATGCAATAAATTTTGTTTGAAAGAAATTATGACTTTTTTTTAACTGTTTTAAAACCTTGCTCATGTAGGGCTTCATAAGCCACCCACCAACAACATCGGAGATGTCTTGGCTTGTTTAACGCACAGCAAGTTCATGTTACAGGAAATAGTCCTTAAATTGAAGTGCTTTACCTGTGCCTTTAGGTTAGTCTTGGCTTCTTTCTTTGGTTATTGCCAGGTATCCTACGTCATCAGAGATGCGGTTGAGAGGCAACACCGATCTGGTGTCAACTCTCTCCAGTATGACCCCTACCTTAACAGACTGTACTCTGCAGGCCGCGACTCAGTCATCCGCATCTGGAACACGCGCAATCTGGAGGTACGTGTAAGGCACACAGGTGTGCTTGTTCTCAGTTTGTCGTGCTCACGCAGCAGTTTTTGCTGTAATGCCCGCAGCATTATTCATTACCCAAAGGGCCAGGTCATATTGCAGCTAACAATTTAGATGCATTGGGAGGTGAGCTGGTAGTCTGCCGAAAGTTATTCCATTGTGCTGAGCACTGGAGTCACTTGTGAATTTATATTACATAAAAGTAATGAAAAATGTAATTTAAAATATGCTCAATTCCCCACACACTTCGCAATGTGTGGGGATTGGCACTGCTGATGTGACATTCTCATAGGCTTGAGACCGAAGAGTCAGACAGGGAGGATGTGGTGTCTAAGGGCATGTCTTGTGCATTGCTGCAGTATTTGCAGTTGTGAAAGTCATTTCGCCATATTGGTGATGCTTTTGTCAATCTAAGAAATTAGAGTTTTCATATCTGGAACTAACAATTAAATTTATTTAATCTTTCTGGCAATGAATGTTGATTGTGTGTAGTGCATCTTATTGTCTGCTAACCATTCGGATGTATTTTCTAAATTCAAATTGGTGTCAGTGAATAGCTTACTCAGATTGGTTTTGTATTTTGTTTTATTGCATCACTTTATGGTGTGCATTCTTCCTTTGGCAGGACCCCTACATTCAATCTATGGAGCATCATACAGATTGGGTCAATGATGTTGTGCTCTGTTGCGGCGGCAAAAACTGTGAGTTCTTGTGTTTATGTTAATGAGTTCTGCGGAAACCCACAAGGTGGCAAAAGGGTTAAGAAAGTGAAAGAAGACAACTGCCCGTTTGTAGCACGAAGCCACAAGGAAATCCATATGGACATTCTGAGAAATCTGTATAGATTTCCTTGTGGCTTCGTGCTTCAAACGTGTGGCTGTCTTCTTTCACTTTCCTAACTTTCTTTTGTCTTTATATATAGCTGTACATCTTACCAACAGATTGCATGCCTTTTCTTAAAATTTTAGCTCTTCACTTTTGAAAGTCAACTAAACATTTTAAATGTCCAACTGAATAAATTGTCTCCTATAGCTACTGTAAGGTGAATTACTTTCAACACTTATGGATGTTCCACGAAAAGTATGATTCATATAGATTGATGATGAGTACTTGGTGATGTATATGCGTAGTTTGCGAGCATGTTGTGTAGTATTATGTAAGTGGTTGGGAACACATTGGTAATGACTTAACATGTAGAAGTGTTGGATGTTTCTTAATGGTATTGTAATTTTGGCTCACTATTTTTTCAGCTGTTTTTTTTTTTTTTTTTTTTCAATGTATACATGTGTCTCTGGCTTGTCGCACTGCACTTTACAGGGCTGCTTCAGCACTTATTACATTTTCTACAGAGCTGTTTTAGCACTTTTCCATGCAAATGTGTGTAAACAAATTAATTATGCAGCATGTATTTTGTCACTAGAGCCTTGACAAAGTAACTTTGTATGGCCTGGCTTGTCATGCTTGGTATGTCGGAGCTGGCAGAGCACCATTGAAATGTGTTTGTGCAGTAAATGTTTTGCTGGCGTGAACTTTTATGCTTACCATTACTCAGGAAATTATTAAACGAGTAATTGAATATGTACATTTCTTATTTTGCTACACCTTGGCTTTATGCTAGCGGCAGTGGTTAACTTCACAACCTGTCTTTCAAGATGTCTCAAAATGTGCAGGCTTTGCAGGCATATGTGTATGTCAACCTCAAATTGCCTTATTAAACAAAAGCTTTAGATCTGAGTCGGCCTTTACTTCTCAATCATGTACACACATCCCATTAACTCCTTTACAACACAATTTTTAAAATTATTTAAATGAAATCTGTGGTATTTAGAGAAACTTCACACCACACTAATTTTATAATCGAAAGGGTGGTATCTGTATTGTCGTTGCTCCTCTCCTAGCAGGTGTCGTGGCCTCATTGTATGTTTCTTCGATAGACGCATTGGCAATGTCATTGTTAAGCATTGTGCCTGTCAGGACTTCAAGTTTTTCAACTCGACACTGCCAGCTTATGAGATACAAAACCCAAGGCTCATTTATGAGGGCAAGTCACTTGCTTATGAGGGTAAATCACTGGATCGCTGACAACCAAGCAAGATGACGGGGACGACTGGGCATGCAACTGTACATAAAATTGTGTTAGTAGTGAAATTGCAAACAATATTTCTCGTATACGATGGCTGGAAGACTGGGTGAACAGGGAGTTGTCCTGAAAACCGCTGTCAATCACGGAAGACGAATTAACTTTTCCACGTGGGGGAGTTGAACACAGTGTATCCGACGTTTGCAGATTGCCATTCTAAGCCTTCATGTGTTTCTCTCTCACAACTCGTGCAGTGATATCCGCCTCTAGTGACACAACTGTCAAGGTCTGGAACGCTTATAAAGGTTTCTGCATGTCCACACTCCGTACGCACAAGGTATGCTCACGTGCTGTTCTTCACGCCTGATTAGAGGTTCAGTTGTGCTGCAATTAGAGTTGGTTGTAGCTGAATGTTTTTCAGTCTACAAAACGAGAAAAGCAGTGTGACAAAATGGTAACAGTCTTAGAAAACTTTATACATGCTGAAAGTGTTTCATGTTATTTTTTACTTTTTGTAGTTTAGAAAAAGAAAACCAGCCATGCAGTTTAACTGCATCAAATAGTGAAAAATAGCATTTACTTTGTGTATTTAAATTTGTAAATTTGTACGGTGCTTTTGAAGATTCTATTTTGTGACACCCGGCTTTGCTGTAACTCTGAAAGTCAGTTTTTATTCAGAAGTAGAGCTGCTTTGGTAACAGTATTTTAAAAAATTACTTTGCACTGATGTCTACAAACAATCAAAAAAACTTTTTCAATTGTTTGTTGAAGATGGTCAACGAAGTTGATGAATTCGTGTTTGGAGGGCTAGTTGTTTAGACATTATGGGAGTTTTAACTGCACTGGAGACAGGACACCTGAATAGAAGTTGATAGACTTCATTCGTTCTGTGCCCTTTTACTATGGTGCCTCGTTCCTAGTGCAGTATGAATTCATGTTTAGTAAGATCAGGAAAATGTTTTATGTGCTCTAGATTCAAGAACAAAAAATAAATTTTTCGATATCATGAAGCTTATCCTTTTTGCTTGCGGATGCACAATATCCTCATTAGCATACTATCATAAAATCCGCAGGAACCCCCCCCCCCCCCCTCCTTTCTTTGGGAGATTTCGAAAGTGTGGCCTCTTCACTCCTACCACAAGTTACACTGTTTCATTTACTGTTCTTATTCGTCTGATGAGGGCAAATGAAAGCTGTGAATGCAAGTGTATTCAATAATTCATTTAATTAGAAGCACAGATTAGAATTCTTTTGTTCGTAACGGCTCTTCTGTTGCCATCTTGAATATTGATCCATCACTGAGCAAGGGCCACCCCACGAAATCCTGTCGGATTATCCTTCACCATAGGCAGCGCTTGCTCGTGATTTCACGGTCGTTCATGTTACAAATGGCAAGTGTTGCTTTGAACTTGTTTTGAAAAGTGTAAGCCTCGTAATGCCCTCTTTCAGGATTATGTGAAAGCCCTAGCCTATGCGAAAGACAGAGAACGAGTTGCTTCAGCAGGTCTTGATCGAGTAATCTTCCTCTGGGATGTCAATGTCCTGACCGCCCTAACTGCGTCCAACAACACGGTGACCAGTAAGCCTTTTTTTTCTTACTGTTTTATTATCATAACTTTCACACTTAACCCATTTTATAGTAGAAAGAATGTGAGTAATAGTTGGGATAACTTTAGCCTATTATGACAAAATAGCTGATATGATTTCCAAGAGCTCTTACTTTGAGATTCTTTGTCTATCCTCTCCTCTGTCCCATCTCTGTGTCAAGAAATGCTGCTATGAAGTGGTAATAGATTACTTGGCTTTATGGTTTTTTCTTATGAAAATTGTTGCTTTGTTATGGTAGCTATTTGACCGATATGTGTTACTAGGCTCTAATTCTTCCTTTTATGATGGCAGACTGTTTTCTCTATTTTGGGATAAGTCTTGTGATGTTGTGATTTAAACCTAGCCAATGTAATATCACTGTAAACTAGAGAAAATTTATTCACATAGTCGCTTGCATGAAGAATACTCTACCATTGATTTTGAGTTAACCTCAGATTGTTTAAACATTGTGCACCTTTAAGAGCTGAATTCTTGCAAGCCAACTTACATTCAGTGATTAATAATAGAAGACACTTGTGTTATTTAGCTTCCTACTGAGCAGGTGCACTTTTATTAACTTGAACTTGTCACCATGTGGATGAATTCAGAATCCTTTACTTCTTGTAGAATAGCTCGGCACTTCCATACGTTTTGAATGCCTACTATCACAATATAGTGGAGGTTGTAACTTCTCTTACCAAAGGCTACCTGAAAAATTTTGTTTTTGTTTAGTTCTCTTTCATGCACAGGGGCTGCTGGAGTACCTTAATATCATTTTCCGCTACTGTACCGCAAGCAAAACTGACCGCAGTCATGCTTTGAAGCCAGCTTGTTCCTACTTTTCAAATAAATTTTTTTCTATGTTCTCCGAGAAATGATGTGTTCATTCTAAAAAGCACTAAAAAAGATTTGTACTTACTGACTTTCTAGAAACAATTTAAAAGGCAAAGATTGACTTCTATGTAGCCTATCACATTGAACCTTCTACTAGCAGAGCTACTTGGTATGATGCTGTTCAGAACTAAAGAGCTGTTGGGTTACAGTAGACAGAATGTCAAATACACTGTTATATTCTACAAATTGACTTTGGTATTTATGATTAAGAAAAAAATGTGATACCGGGAAAAAGTTGGCAAGATGTTAGTTTTGAGGATGTTTAAGATAAGAAATAAAAAAAAACGGGTTTGCATTAGGATGCTGTGAATGAAACTCCTGTCTTTAAAAATGTTGAGAATGTAGAAAGAAACTGCGCTTTACTAACACCATCGGAAAGATAGCCTGTTAACACAAAACAAAATTTGCTGGGCTGTGATCCACTACACCAAAGCACGTCATCTTGGTATACCTTTACTGAATAGAGTGCCTTTCCTGTTGGCTTTTTATTTTGCTTGGAGCATAGTGGCTTTTGTAGGCACAGGCACTGTAACTTCCATCCTGAGTGGTGAACAGAGTTTTTCTCACTGGCACTAGTTTTCGTGAGTGATGGCAGCTAAATGTGAAGTTGCTTTGCCTTGAAGACAATATCTTGGCTTACTTACCCGCAGCTAGATCTAGAAGAGCTTTTGCCTGAAGGAAGAAGTAGAGAGGTGGTGACCCCTGCTGCTAAAGCTTGGCAACATCGTGGCAGCGGACTTATATAGCCTGTCTCCTTTCTGCTATGTGTTGTGCATTGATAACTCTTAGCGAGCTAAAAAGCAGTTAGTAAGACCTCTATTTCAAAGCAGGCTTTTCAGCTGCCATCTGCCTTTCTCAGCAGCTTTAGGCTCATTGTTTTTTTTTTTTTCATCCCTTTTTTTTTATTTCAGCTTTTGCATTTGGTCAAAGCCAAAGCTTTGAGAAACAGGTTGTCTTTTTTTAGCTCATTCCAAAAAGCAAGCCAACTTTCTTATACTTTTGAAAGGGTTTAATATTTTCACAGTAAGCGCTCTCTTTTCTTGACCTTGCGCAGCTGTTTCGCTGTTCTGGCTCGAAGCGTACTAGATGTGACAGCGTGTGTTTCATTTGTGTGAAACGCGCAACACTTTTTTTGGGGGGGCTGCATTGCATTGATCATTGTGGGTGGATATGACGACCACACTCTTAGTTCTTGCTGACTGTGGCTCTGTTAAACACTGACACGCCATTTGTGGGCGTACGAGTCTTACAGCTGTGCGAGTGGTCGCGTCATTGCAAGCATTTATTTGTGATGGATTGGCACAATCAGCATTTTTCGGACACATTTTTTCTGAGTGTCAACATTTTGCACACCTCGCATTTCAAAGAATTCAGGAGGTAGTACTTCGGAGGACAGGCCATTTGATCCAGGAAAGGCTAATGCTGCTGCACTGAACCCGATTTTCGTAACATGAAAGCCGAAACTTTCTTGTCTCTTTTTATTTTTCTGATATAGTAAACTATTCCGTTCTGTGGATGCTCTGTTTGATAACCCTTGGCACTGTCATACCTTCCACGTCCTCTTTGAGCCCAATGATTCTGATTGCTTTCTCCTTTTGTTCGAGCTTTTTGGCATTCATACTTTTATCTAATGACATCTTTTTCTTTTGTTGCTACTCTAAGTTTCAAAGTTATCCTTCATGCTAGAGCTTAACATCATCACTTCACATTTAGGTTTGATTTGCAGTTGGCTAAGCCCTATGTCTGAGGCCTACTTTTGTCTCTATCATTCTGGCCATTTGTTTGTTTGGCTACGGGACACTTGTCTGCAGAAATGCATCTAGGCTCTTCTGCTTCTTTTTCTGTTATTATATGTTGGTGCTCTTCTTGCTTACAAAGTACTTACCTTATGTTGGTAACTGCTAGGTAGCTTGAAAAGCAGCTGTCTCACACTCCAGCATTTTTACTGCTACAAGGATGTAGAGCATTCATTATTTTGTGATTCTGAATTAAATCTAGACCTGAATGCTTAATTATTCATTCAATTTACCTATTTCGTTTTGAAAAAGCACCATTTTGTGCTGTAATCCCAGATATGGAAGGTAGCTGATGCTACTGTGGACTCGAGGGGGGCTATTAAAATATAGACATTCCCATTACGTTTCTCTTGGCGCTTAACCTCGGATCACTACACTGGCATCGCCATCAATCGTTTAATGGCGCTAGGGTTTTATTCTGATGCAGGTGACAATGTTTGCGCTGCTGACTGCTTTAGTTTCTAGCCACAATCAGTTGAAGATCATTGTCTTTCTGAATTTGACAAAAGGATTTTTTTCTCATTTATAAAAAAGAGCATGAGGCTTTTAATGGGGATGTGCCATTCATGAAATGGAAGAGGAAACATTGCCAGTGGTCAGACATTGGCCCCGCAGTAGAGATTTTCCAGTGGGTATGTGAAATCGATAGTAACAAATCTAGGAAATTGACAGTGCTTATTGTCAATAAGCTCTGGATGACGAAGTCACTAGCTAGGCTTTCTTTGCACGTGCACCTACGAGCTTAGGGCAGTCCAATTGCATCCTGTCGAGTAGTCCCTACAAGACAAGAGGGGCTAGATGTTATGTGACCATATTACGTCCTTCATTGCGTTGCATTATCCAGTTGCCTACAACATCACTTACATTAGAGCATCACTGAGATGGGAACTAACAGGCTAGCTCACAGTATGAAAAAATGCTTTAAAAGCTACTGTCGAGAAGGATGTAACATAAGCATCCATCACCTGCTTAAAATGTGTAGTCATTTTCAAAGCTACTGTTCAGTCAACTTGCACCTTAAAAGGGTTTTACTGGGCAACTCAAAAAATAAATAAAACTGTCACGAAATAGTGCATGCAATGTGGAGATAATGTATAGTTTTGTCTTAAACTTCATTATCTTGTCCAAAAGAATCATTATGGTCTCTAATACCTTGCATAATCAGTGGATGATCTGTAAGCTAACCCCTCTGGTTTCACATCAGTGATAGCAGTAAGGTTCATCGCACATTATCTTCTTTCTCACCACCTCACCACCAAGCTTAATTTTTTACATGAACCTACTTGGTCACTTGTTTCATTGGGGTTCTTCTGCAGCTTTAGCATCTGTTCTTATCATTCTAGCCATCGCTTGCTCTAATTTTAGGCCTCCGTCTTGCCACTGAGGTGTCTCTGTAGAGTTTTGATGCACTGGGAACTCCCATGCTCATGCTCACTGCTTGCGATGGGGTAGTCATGTTTGGGGATTATATCATCGACATCCTATTCTGTTTACTTTTGAAACACCCAACGCAGCATCTTATTCGGCTTCAGGGACAGTCTTGTCCACGTCTGGTCCCTGAGACAGTTTGCTTTTCTTCAATTGGATCTTGTTCTCTGTCCTTATCACCTCCCTCCCCCTCATTATTATCTTACTTGGATTGCAGTTATCTTTATTTCATATCATTGTGGTATCTCTCTTTCCCTGCCTTGCCTTGGATACTGGCCCCCTCCCCCACTACGCTGACTACACTGCCTCACTTTGGGTGAGAACCGTCGAGGACTTCACTTTTCGGCTTTCTGTTACTGCATCCCTAAGTTAGGAAGTTAAGCGCTGCTCTAAACTTCAAGTTATGTGTGACGTTTGCTGCTTGCCTGTGACGTCCTTTTCTTTCTTTATTTTTTTTTCATAGCAGTTGCTGCTTTGTGCATTGCATCCCTGCACAACTTTCGTTAAGAAATGTCTCTTTACACTTGCATAGACATGTTCAGATTGAAAACTTTTAAAGAAACAATGTACGACATCAAAAGATTGTGATAGTTAGTGCCTGTGTATGAGTCATAAACAAAGTGGTAGTAGAGTAGTGTTCTGTACTGCAGAGCACAGCTCGATTACAGCTGATCAGAAAAGATATATACTGTGTTACTCCTGCAGAATCGTGTTCAGATGGCATGTCGCTACGGTCTGCACTTCTATGAAGTCTCTTTCTCTTGCATGGGACTGAAATCTTCCATCACATCACTGTGTCTTGTACAGCCGTCTATCATAAGACACAACACATAATCAAGTGACACTTTTGGGTCATGTTTATGAGAGGCTTTGAAAACAGATAATAGAGCGTACAGACAAAATTAACTGGTGAGATGTTGCAGCATGCTGCACAGCACTAGGTTGCGAGTTCAAAACTGGCTGTGAAGCACACTTCAATGCAGGCAAAAGACTAGAACACTCAAGCAGCTAGATTTAAGTGCACGTAAAAGAATCTTATGTTGTCACAATAATCTAGAGGCCCACAGTACGTTGCACACTATGCAATCAAACCTCATTATAACAAAGTTGCATCTTACACGAAAATAAGTTTGTTATATAAAAAAATTTGTAAACAAAGGCATGTTACTAACATTCGATCGCAAGTCTATTCTTCATTTACTTCGTTATAACTGGTATTTCGTCATATCAGAGTTCATTATACCGAGGTTTGAGTGTATCTAGTTGTGGTTTTGTTGTACAAACACTCAAAATTTAATTGCAATGTAGTACAAGATGAAACCATGCTGTATTTTTTTATTGAATGTGTCGATGGATGTCTGCTTTCGCATTTTTGTCTGGTACTAATGTTACTGTAATGCATCGTTATGCAGAACTTCCCTTTATTCAATCTAGCTTGTTCAGATCTTCGGGCACAGTCTGAAATTCTTCGGTTCTATGTGTGAAAACTGCGATGTGACAACGAGGTCATAGAGGGAAACTCAGAACATTTTTTACCTCCCATTATTCTTCAACATGCACCTAAATCTAAGTAAGCAGGTGTTCTTGCTTTTTACCTCCAATGTGCTTACCGTGCTTGGGAATCGAACCTGCATTCACTAGCTTAGCTGCGCAGCGCTCTACCTGGTCAGCTACTATCGCAAGATAGATGCATATCCGCTGAACTCAAACCTCATTATAACAAAGTTGTGTTTTACACTAAAATAAATTCGTTTTATTTGAGAATTCATTTAAAGGTAAATTCCTAACACTATATCTATTGCAAGACTGTGCTTTGTTTACTTTGTTATAGCCAATATTTGGTTATATACAGGTTCATTATATCAAGGTTTCAATGTATTTATAGGCTTTGCTAAACTCTCGCTTTTCCTCAATGAAACATTAAGCGTAACTGCCAAATCTGTGATGCCTTTTAGGCATATAGTATGCAAGAATAAAATAAATAGAGTTGTCTGAGAACATGGCCCTTTGTCACTTGTGCTTGTCACTTGTGTCTCATTGCTTCAATGTCTCTTGCTTGTGCAGTTTGCTGCTTCCCCCTGATTTAACTACTTTATTTCTTTTCTGTCTCGTCTTTCGCTTCGTTGTTGCAGCATCTTCACTGACAGACAACAAGGACAGCATCTACAGCCTGGCGATGAACCCACCAGGCACGGTGATTGTTTCAGGATCAACTGAGAAAGTGATACGGGTTTGGGACCCCAGGACATGCCAGAAGATGCCGAAACTCAAGGGTCATACAGACAATGTCAAAGCACTTGTTCTCAATCGAGAGGGCACACAGGTATTTAAAAGCACTGTCCTGGATTTCTATTTTTGTACAATCTTAGCATGACAAACGATAAATCATATGTACTAAGTCATTATTAATTACCATAATTATTTACCTTCTTATATTTATTTGTCTATCTAATCATTTATTGACTGCTTGCATGCGGTTATTTTGTAAGAATGCTAGTTACACTGTGTATATCAAAAATGCTTACCTCAAAATACTGCTCTTGATAACATCAAACTTAATCAATTATAGTTTGTGCAACACTATTAAAAAGTGCCACTCATTTTTTTTTTTGAGATTCTAATTACTTCCAGATAAATGACTCATCATTTCTGTGATGAGATATTTTGATGAAGATTATTTTCTTTTGTGTTGGTTCAGAAAGAAGAGCCATGCCAGTGTACCATACTTTTAATTTCATTCCATTTATCCTTCTTCTGTAACAGTAGCGTAAGCGGACAATGTGAACATAATTTTGTGACCCTAGCACTTATAGCCACAGTTTTACGACTGTATTAAAATACTAGTTTGTGTTATAGACATCAGTGAAGAGCATGACAGCATTGCGTTGAATAGCATGTCTTGTGTCCATCTTGGGTTTTACACTTGGTGATATCGTGTGTACCCTGTTTGTGTGCGTACCGTCTATATGAACCCCAAACTCTTTGCAGTGCCTGTCTGGTAGCTCAGATGGGACGATACGGCTATGGTCACTTGGGCAGCAGCGGTGTGTGGCCACGATACGAGTTCATGACGAAGGTGTTTGGGCACTACAAGTGAGTTATCGCCACCGTTTGTAACATATAGCTCTTTTTAGCAGTTCTGGGTACGATTAACTCTTCAAGATGTAGTGGGCAGCTTCTATTATCTGGATTGTTGGTTTGCGCAAAACTTTTAAAGTGAGAAGAATGTTTGTATTTTAACAACCAGGCAGCAAGAGAAGGAAGATATGAAAATGCAGCCTATGTTATAAGTATAGGGGATCTGTCCAGATAGTGGAAGAAGTGATCTTTTTCTGCAAAAACATTATAAAGAATGGGGATGTTTTTGTGCTGGTTAGTGGGGGGGAGGGGTGTCTTATCTACGAGTGCACCAGTTGCCAGTGTTCTCTAGGCCTTCATGGAGTGTAGAGTGAGTTTAAGGTGATCCCCTGTCAAGGTGCCTTGTCATTTCTTGGATGAATTGTTTGTTAAAGAAGTGTTGCACAATAACCTTTAGCTTCAAACTGGGTAAAACTGCATGCCAGACCCACAACACTGTGAATATTGCGTACAAGAGAGATGCCATGGGTCAATTGTGTTTTATTGCGATAGTATGGACACTCTCAGCTGGATTCCACTGCTGGTGTCGGCGTGGGCGTTGACGTCGATGTAATGCTTCGTATATGTGTACATATCTATATATATTATAAAAACGCAAGAAAGATAAAAGTTCCAGAAAAAAGACTCCGGCGCGCGGAATCGAACGGGGAACCTCCGCTTTGTGAATGCAAGGCATCAACCACTGAGCCACCGAAGGGTACCTCCTTCAACGTTCAAACGGCAAGCTATTCATATCTACCACTTACTGCTGTTGGCGGGCATCTTGAGGGGGGGGGGGGGGACTATCGTGTTTTCAGCGTTATCAGAAAGATGGCGCAGTAAGCGCACAGTGGCTCTCATCTCTCACACGTACTTTGGCCCGCGTAGAGAATAGGGGGGGGGGGGGAGTGTGGGGTGTACGCTCAATCACGTGCCCTTATCTTGCAGTGGAGAGAATTGCACCTCTTGACTAGCCTTTGGGTTTCGTCGAAAGAATTCTGTTATAGTTACCGGGTGCACAAAGGTCACTGCAATCATTGCACAGCCTCCGTTTGCAAAAAGGGTGCGCTTTTCAGGCTCAGCGTAGTAACAACTAAGATGCTTATTCCCATTAATTTGTACCTGTCAGAACGTTTTGTGCGTCCTTTGTGCTTGAGAAACGTGGTGCTTGTTTCGATCTGCTTGCCATTCTGTGCGTGACCTTTCAATTTGTTGCTATTTGGTTCATTGCTTTGCCTTTGCAGCAAAGCTGTAACTTTTTTGAGTGGCACCAATTGTTTCAGGGCAGAAGTGTGCAAGCTGAAGATGAGCAATGGTCAGGACACCCTTGAACCACTAAAAATGATGAAAATTTTGTGAAAGTTCGAAATCTCTTGAACTGTGACCACGGGCTAAGTGTCCGTGTGATACCAAAGTAATTCAGTGATGGAAGTGCTGCTCCAATTACTCCAAACTTCTCCGAAAGAGAAATGCTGCTCCATACTGCTCCAAAGTGCAAGATTTGCTAGTAACTGCTCCAAGCCTGCTCCAAAATGGTGTTGGCAAACTAAAGAGAATGAAGTTGAACCATGATAACCATCCCGTGAGCCTGAGCGAAACCAAAAGCAAGCTGTATGCTATCATCCTAGTATGCTGCTCAGTGGCGCAAATCTAGAAAAATCACAAGGGGTGACACATATCAGGCCATGTTGACCAATTTGTATTTTCAATATGGGTTGTATCTTTATTTATCTAAGAATTAAATCATGCTTTCAAATAGAACTGAAGAAAAAACCAGCGTCGGGTCCGAGCTCGAGCAATTTTATTGTTCTATTCAGTCTCTTTTTATTCACCTTTTCGCAATTTCCATTGTCCACACAGCTCAGGGGCATTTAACAAAGCTACGCAGTAACAGACAAAAAGCGTTTTAAAATCTTGATTGTGCTATACTCAACTGTTAACTCAATTATATTATGTGCTCAAGCTAAATCTCAGGGGGGACACTTGCTATGGCTGTCCTCTCCAGCCTGAACACAAGAAAAGTCCGGACTCTCTTGACCCCCCCATTATTTACGCCAATGATGCTACTATAAAGCTTGTATACTAGCTGCATACTAGCATACAGCGTGTGCAATAATAAATATAAATATTTATTAGATGCCTAAGTGATGTTTTAGACTTTAGAAGTCGTTAGGAACATGCATCTGCTCTGAATACACCAATAGCAACCCTTAGCTATAGCATTCTTTTCTGCTCGGAAGACAGTTAAGGCTGCTCCAAAGCGCCATTTTTTCTGCTCCATAATCTGTTCCAAAAAGCAAAATGTCGCTTCCATTGCTGGTAATTAAACTTGCCAAAAACTACTGGGCTCCACATTGTGGCCAAACACTTGGGATTGACAACAGTTTGCGCAAGATCGCTGCAAATGCTCCAATGTGCAAAGCCACACCACATTTGCCGTCATGAACATTCTGACCAAACATGCCATTCCACAGCTCATTTAGCCACCATATTGAGAGCGAGGGTTACCACTGGAGAGGCCAGTGCTGCTGTCATTGTGGCGTAGTAAACGACCTTACATGACTCACTTATGCCGTCGTCAGTGCAGCGTGCTTGCTTTCAACCCCGAGTCAGTTCATTTCCTAACTTTCAGGTTGGTTTATACGCTTGCTTCTTTAGTGCCGGAAGCATTTGAGTGAGCCTTAATGTGAATGAGTTCGTCCGAATAGATGCACCACCGTTACATTTGACTGATAAAACTGAAATTAGCGAAAGAACTCGGCGTTCCTCCGCGGGTGTGCTGCTCACTCAGCGGCATCTTCATATTTTGAGCGTTCGTGCATCTGCAAGGATTTTGCGTCGGGAATCGGAGATTAGATGTTCGGTAAGTATGGCGGCGTACTTCACGGATCTGCAGGCATAGGAATTAATCGCCTTTATTTGCACCAGGCTGGAAAGAACGATTTCTAAAGTGTGCAATCACAGCAACCATTTTATTTGGCCCTTGAATTGTTTTAAGTAGCGCATGATGCGGTCTCTACTTCTCGCCCTGGTGTGTGTTTTCGTGCGTACACTAAAACCAAGAACCAGCAGGATGCATGTTCGATAAAGCCGAGAATAGTGGAACAGTGAAGCATTGATTATCGCATGTGCGGCAAGCACTTTCACGAAAATATTTTGTGTACTGTGTTGGGGTTGATATCTGGTGAGTACGACGTGGGACTTTCAGGGAATGTACACATAGTAATTAGCTATGTTTATTCATGCCAGGCAGACAGGCCTTTTCCATCTGTCGGCAGCTCAATGGCGGCGAGAATGATTTTGCCCTGATGCTGTCATTTTGCGTTGCGTATTTGGACGTCTTTTCTGATTTCAGCCGTGGTGTGTTAAGCTGCTAGTAAACAAATTATTTGATGCCAGAGACCAGTATAGAGTCACTGAAAACAAAATACGGTAACTGTTATTAATAGTCGAGCAGGTGTTATTGTAACTTTCGCTTATCACGTCACGTCATTCGGTACACCCCGCGCAGAGATTTGCTTGTAGTGAAAGTGAGGATTAGGTAGACAAATTATATGTGGGTGAAGTTACACTTATTGAAATATGTCTTATAAATTATCATCCAGTAATAATTCGAGTGAAAGTACACACTTATTGAAATATGTCTTATAAATAATCATCCAGTAATAATTCGAGTGAAAGTAGCAGGCCACACAAAACACAGTTGTTGTGAGGAGCAATGTTATTGCAGCAAAAGAGCTCTAGATACCCGTATGAAAAATCAAGCGAACTTAATAACGAATACCACAGCATAGCTCGCCTTCGGCCACTTAGTACTACTTTGAAAACTAGGGCGAGATGGTGCCGTGAACCCTGCGCGGCAGTCCGCACTGATCGAAACGTTACCAAGGAGGCCGCGCGCTTTATGCACAAAAGCAAGAGAGACAGGTGCACGCTATTGTGCTTGCCTCAGTCAACATAAATGTTCGTGCAATGTGAAAATGCTTTGATTTACTCATTACTAAATGATTTTCATAACAGCCGGAGTAGCTGTCCACGTTGTGCGTCCATGGTGCCATGCCCACAATCTTCGTTGAGAGTGCCCGATGCGGCGATGACCGTATGTTGACTCGCTAAAAATCTTTGTTGGCAAACACTCTAGGTTGTTTCGCAGCTAATACAAACGCAAGTGACACTTGTGAAGCGAGAAGAGCGCCATGGTGGAACAGCCTGAATTACAGGAGTTGTCAAACACTTCACACGGCCATGTGATGTCGTTTTATATGTCACAGAACGATTCGAGCAGATGGCGCCACGATATGTCCTCGCTGCCAATAGCCCAGATGTTACTACTTTGGACCTCTTCCTCTTCCCCTGATTGAAAAAAAGGTCGTAATAGGGTGGCACCACAGCTCATTCCCGGCCATTTAAGAGGCCCAATAAGGGAGTTGAAGAGCATTAGACTTTTCACGTTACGAGGAGCCTTTAATTCATTGATCGGCAGAGTCGCTGGAAACACTTTGTTGATATAGAGGGGCATATTTGAAAACTCTAATTGATGTATTGCAGTTGTGAATATATATGTATATATAAGGGAAAGAGGTGTATACTTAAGGGCTCGCTTTTCCGTGTTTTGACACAATATAATGAGATCTAACAAACAATAATGCCAAGGAATGTATAAGGAAGCTATTAAAGCCAATGTAATGTAAATAAGAAAGAAAAGTGGGTGAAAAGATAACTGCCCGTGAGCAGGACTGCTCACGGAAATTATATATATATATATATATATATATATATATATATATATATATATATATATATACTTTCCCGTTTTCAGACCTTGTATGTGCTAAGCAGTGCAGCTTCGGCTCTCGGCAGTTCTCTCTCAATTCTAGCTACTAGCAGTGAAAGCTGAAAATGAGCCTGCCTGTAGTGTAGCTCATAATGTGCAGGAACAAATTGCTTTGGGCAGTATAGGACCATGTCTGGCTGACGAGTTCTGTTTTTTATGTGCATTATAAATTGTCTTTCAGTGCTTAATTTATGTAAAGTTTTCTTTGGCACTCTGTAAAGCATAATTTAGATACTTGACATTTCAATTGCTAACATGACGTTTTGTGCAGGCTGACGTTAAAAACATTTTCTGCTATGACAGGTGAATGAAAGCTTCACAACGGTGTTTTCCGGTGGTCGGGATCGCAAGATATTTATGACTGACTTGAGGAACCCCGACAATCGTGCACTTGTCTGCGAGGAGACCGCACCAGTTCTCAAAGTAAGTAATGAAATGTAAATGTGTGTAGCATTCAGTAAAGCTCCATGGTATGCTTTAGCAAACCATGGGCAGTGATCATTAGTTCTTCCAAAAGTTCTGCTTTGCTATTATTGCAAATTTGTAGTATATATGTTACTATAAGAACTTTGCGAGGAATTAAAATTACTGCATTACATTTTGTCATGACAGCGTTGATTGTAATTATGCAGACATGCTTGGCACTGCATTAGATCATGACGGTATAAACAAAGGAATGGCACTATTAATATAAATAACTGTTATTGCTATTGCTTTTTGCTTCTGTTATTTTAAAAAACTCATTTTCTTAAGCTTCATTTGCCTGGTTCATGTGGAAGTTTGTTCTCTTATTGGTGAAACACATTTGTACTAGATGACTCTTTGTTCATTCAATGAACAGATGACACTCTGCAATGATACTTCATCCTTATGGGTTGCCACTACTGACTCTACCATCAAAAACTGGGCAAGTAGACTTTTTCGTGCTAAACCCATATATGTTTCCTTGTACTGTCTTGTATCAATGGCTGCGACGATTTTCTACTCTCCAAAATAGCATTTCGCTAATAAGCATGAGGGCATGGGTTAAATTCCCAGCCACGGTGACTGCATCTTTGTGTGAATGAAATATAAGAACAACCATGTACTCAGCTTTGGGAGCACCTCAAAGAAATACAGGCAATCAAAAATGAAGCAGATGTCCCCTATTGTGATTGATTGATTTGATTGATTTAACGTCCCGAAACCACCATATGATTATGAGAGACGCCGTAGTGGAGGGCTTCGGAAATTTTGACCACCTGGGGTTCTTTAACGTGCACCCAAATCTGTGTACACGGGCCTTCAACATTTCCGCCTCCATCGGAAATGCAGCCGCCACAGCCGAGATTTGATCCCGCGACCTGCGGGTCAGCAGCCGAGTACCTTAGCCACTAGACCACCGTGGCGGGGCTCCCCTATTGTGGCATGCTTCATAATTGTATTAGGGTTTAATTAATTTGTTATGTAGAAAAAGGTTATTGGTGTACCAGAACTGCTTCTGTGTTTTCTGATGACTTTTGTGCTTGTTTTCTAACGCAATTTTGGACATTAAATGCAGCCTGTGAACAACCGGTGCTCGCAGCTGGATGACTACGACACTGACATACTGGTTCCTCTCAGCCAGAAGCCACAGGAAAGCATAAAAGGTAAGAGCAAAAATCTCTTGTAGCTCTAGTCACTAGGACACTATACAACTGTGCAATAGAATATTAAAAATCTGTTGCTTATAAGCATCTAGAAAACTGGAAATCATTAATTTAGTTAGTGTTATGTCCGAGGTTGTCGTCAGCCCAAAGGCGTACGCGCGAGGCGCGGTAGTCTAAAAAGCATAGACAGTCTGGTTCGGGTAAAAACGTGTTTTTTCCTACTCGGAGGCGGCGGCTAAACTGCTGTGAGAAACGAGTGGTGACTTGCTTGTAACGAGCAGTGGAAAGGGGGAGCAGTCGACAACTGTACGCCTGCAGGTACGGTGGGCCGCTTAGACGTTCGGGGCTTACTCAGGAACAAAGGTGGTCTTGGAAGACGGGGACACAACAGTTAGGTGATTGAATAATGGTGGAATCTTTGTATGTTTTGGATTGGAAAAGAATGGACTTTGTTTACGCACAAATCTACACGGCATTTTTTATAAAGAAAATTGCTGTTTGGCATGCTTGTTTACTGTGCCACTATGTGTGCAAGCTGAGACATGTTAGCCCAGCTCAACATAGCATACTAAATTTAATTAGCATTTCAAGCATTTACTCTTGTCTGTGAATAAATGGAAGCTCATAGCAATGACTGTTCTTGGTCTCTAAGATCATATTTGTCCGGAAGTCCAGTTTTCGAATAATTAGGAAAGGCCATGTATGTCATTCATCATTGATTATCACACTATTTATATGCTCATAGAGTGACAATCGTGTTTTCGAAGGATTGGATTCTTCATTTCGGGTGAACATACCTGGGGCATTCATGAAAGTTTGTCTGCATACAGGCGATGTGCTTTTGAAATGCTTTGATAACAGTGTGAGTGCAGCATGTTATATCCTTTTCATTGTGTGTGTGTGTGTGTGTGTGCTGCATAAAAACACACATAAGCTTGTTTGCTTAACAGACATAAAGGGTGCAAAAACAAAGTTTTCACGTGTGGTTGCAAACACATTCCAGCCACTGAGTGCATTCGTGCTCACCCTCCCACGCAGGCAATCCCAGCATCAGGCATTATGCAGTCCTCAATGACAAACGCTACATTATTACCAAGGACACGGCTGGCCACGTAGCTGTGTGGGACGTCCTACATGTAAGTTGGGCTGAAGCTTTCTGGTGGTTAAGAGTCTGACAAGGGTTCCAGAGGTTCAGTTTTCTTACTACATTTGTACCAAGCCTTTTGCCATTATATACCCTCATAAAGGATCCAATTTAAATACAGCACACTTTTTTTTACTTTCTTGCTCTCTCTTGAAAAAAAGTTTTAAGGGTATTGCATTCTCTGTTTAAATTGCAGGCAGAGAGATGTCCCCGTCTTTGTGGTCAGTTAGCTCTAAACGGAACATGAAGGGGCCAGGCAAATGAGTTCTATTTTTAGCAGGAGTTTTGTTTATGAGAGATAAGCGGGGGGGTGCAGTATTCCAGTCTGAAACCATCCATATCTTTGGTAGTTGCTCCATTCATTTATTTGCTGAGAGTCTACTGTAGTTAGTATAGTGGTGTAAACAAGGCTGCTGGTATCAAGGTCAACTGCAAATAATAAAAGTATAGAAGATAAACTTCAAAACTAGCTTTACTTCTTTTGTGTTTTATATTCACGGCTGCAAAGGATAGGTCTTATGATGACTCATTGTGAATTCCCTGTCAAGCTTCATGCGCTGTTATGATTGAATAGTATGTCACAATGTAGTTGTCATTGAGCACACCCACTATATCCCGTTTAGCTCAGTTTAAGGAACATGGTCTGGTGTGACCCTGTCCAACGTAAAGCAATTGTTGTAAATGGTCAAAAATAAATTGAATTTCTTAAGCAATGTTTTAGGCTTGTTTGTGCTCTTATACAATGGTCCAATGTGCATTGTATGGCATTGGTGCATTTGTAATATTTGAGTGTTGTTAGTGTCTGACCATTGTTAGTGTTAGAGTTGGAGGGCCAAATCCGAGGGCACTACCAATTGCGGGGGAGAAAACTGGAATCGAAATACCGTATTTACTCGATTCTACCGCGCCCTCGATTGTAACGCGCACCCAATTTCCACCGCGAAGGAAAAAAAAACGTAAGACATCGATTGCAACGCGCACCCATTTTTCTCGCTGGCCCGTACGATCACACCACTCGAAAAAACTACTCCTTTCGGGAGCGTCTTCCATATAAATATGAAGTACGGGCGAAGCTTGTGCCCATCTGACGTGTAACAGAGCATTGCCGTCACTGTAGTTTTACCGTGGACCGATGTCAGCACGCGAACTTGCTTCGCCTCCTTCTTCTCGACGGTTGTGGTGCCAGGCATGTCGAAGTAAAGAGGCATCTGATCGGCATTCCCGATTTGCCCAAGCAGGTAGGCGTTGTTGCCCCGCAAGTTTAGGACGAACCTCTGAAAACTGTGAAGCTTTTCATCGTACTCCTCCGCAAAAGTTTTCGCATATGCATGTTCCCCTTCGGAGGGAAAAGCCTTTCCTCTTCATAAAGTTAGTTAGCCAGCACCTGCTCGCTTTAAACTGGCTCCGCATTAGACCTTTTTCTAAGACTAATTGCATAGCCCGCACTTGGAGTAGTTCTGTCGTTACGGGCCGCTGTGCCGCTCGCTGCTCAAGCACATACTCGCCAAGCAGCTCTTTAATTTGCGGAAACCGACCCTGCTGTGGTCCACTGAAGCCTTTGCGTGAAGCTTGGCTGTCGACAATCTTCTGCTTTTGTTTCCGCCGGTCCCGCACGCACGTTTCGGGAACTCCGAACGACCGCGATGCGGCCCGATTTCCGTCCGTTTCTGCGCACGCGATCACTTTTCTTTTAAAAGCGGCATCGTGGTGCACTCAGGTTTTTGGAATCGGCCCTTCCACGCCGTCGATGCTAAGGCACTACTAGATGACGAATTCCTCAGCACACGTACGAAGTGCCGCACATGGGAAACACATAGGCAGAAATGGCCGACGCGCCATGCCGACGCACGTGGGGGCGGCCATTTTGATTTGCCGATGGCAATAGATTGACCGTAATTTTTTTGTTCGTACTCGATTCTAACGCGCATGCGATTTATGAACTCGCTTAACCGGAAAAAAGGTGCGCGTTAGATTCGAGTAATTACGGTAGTATTTATTTTCAGCGCTTATGCCACAAGGTTGCAATTGTTAGCAAGCATTTGCTTCAAGTGAAAAACCCCACTTGAGGTTCAAACTACCATGTTTGGCCTTCATAAAGGAAGGGAAGAGATGAGGGGGAGAGGGGTGAAAGTTCTGAGGTCGTTCCAGGGGCCGAACATTACTGCCGCAGATTTCCGACCTGTTGTAAACAATTGTGTATATATATGTTGCAACAAGCAAGTTTGCCTACAAACACTTTTATTATTATTGTCGGAGCATTAGCCAAGCCAAACAAGCTGTGGCAAGCTTGAGCCACATGAATGTTAACGTCTTCTTTCACGCTGGCACAGTGCTGGTGCCGATATATGCTCTGGTACAATATGTATATATGTATTCGAAATATCAATTTTATATTAGGGTGTATTGGCAGATGAAGATGCTTTTTTTCTGTCATGGAAATATCAGCAAAATTGAAAGTTTATGCACCTCGTAGGTGTTTCTCTAATGTTACACTGAGGCATACAAATTCTTATTGTGTTTCAAGGCATCATTCCGATTGTTAAATCGCTTCCCACCAGATCAAAGCATCGATGAATTAAAGGCAGTGCATGCAGGTTATGGGACAATAATGCTTGCAATGCACTGCTGGCACGTGTAAGTAAATTGTCACAATGCTTATTTAAAAGTGTTATTCTTATATGTTATTGCTTCATTAAACAGGCCTGTAAAGTAGAAGACCTTGGTGCGGCTGACTTTGAAGCGGAGGTGAAGAAGCGGTTCAAGATGGTCTTCGTTCCAAACTGGTTTTCGGTTGACCTCAAGATGGGCGTGAGTACACTGTGTTGCATCACTGATTGGTGGCTTGTAAAGATAAAGCAGAGCTGCTAAATCTAGGCACATTATTTTTTGGCTTGTGTGATTATTCACATGACAATTACTAGGTAAATATACAATATGCAGGTTCTATGCATTGGCCAACAAAATGCCACAGCCATTGTTCTGATTGTGGTTCAATTTCACATAGTGCTGTTGTTTTCTTTTTCTCCTCACCAGATGTTGTGCCTTCACCTGGATGACCCAGACTGTTTTACAGCCTGGGTTTCCACCAAGGAAGCTGGCTTGGGCCCCCCTGAAGGCCCTGATCCAAAAAGTAAGTGTTACTTAGGGCCTGCATTGGCTCCCCAGATAGTGTTGTGACAGAATCACCACATCAATGCTCGGAACTATGGTAAATGGCTAAAAATGTAATGTCCAGTTTACAATCATGTGGTATAGCAATCACAGTAAATTAACTACGCTGTTACCTCTACACATATTTTAACTGCAATATAACTATTGCACACTTACGCAAACAAATCACTGTAGGAACGGCACGCTGACCTCCTGGGCATATGATACGCTAACCTTGCTGATACTCTTGGGACACATGTGCCACGCAGCGCAAACAACTTTACAGGGGGTGTCAGAACCCCCCCAATGTATGTTTGTATGTCAGAAAGTTGTTGAGTCTTATTAATTGTGCTCACAAGGTTTCCTGCCTGATCACAACTCTGCCAGTGTTTTTTGTTTTATTTTTTACTCTATATATAGTGCCTTGTGTTCTTGGTAATTCTTCCAAATTCTTCAAGCTTTAGTGGTTGCAAGCATTTGTAGCCAGTAGGTGACCTTTATTTCTTTACATTCTGCATTTCTTCCTTTTCTGAACGTTTACGCTTGGCACCAGTCAACCTTGGAGCCCTCGTTCTTCAGGCTTTACTCGAGCACTGGCCACCATCTTACCTTCCTCCAGATCGACCTGAGAATGGTACGTCTTCTTCCCAGAGCTTTACATTGTGTGAACTGTCGTAGCATGAAAAATGTGTCTTAGACAACATTGATGAAGTGAATCGGGACAACAGCAAACTGCATAAACTGGGCCAGTATTAAATTGCTCAATTTTCATTCATTTGCTACCACTAACTATGGCGTTGCACTCTCGAATGGCAGAGTTTTATTTGCCCATGTGCTAGTCCCATCAGAAAGCGTAGAGTTGAGCCACTGAATTCCATGTTTGCTCAACTATCTTCCATAAGAGAATAACTGCTACTCTAGTCAGGTAGCTCAACTGCAGCATTGGCAATTGTTTGGCTAACATATTGTATCAACTGCCGTAGGTGTACTCTATTATTATGGTTTGGGATTCGCTGAGTGTGGAGAACACAAAGAGCTTTTACATTCATAATGGAGTGGAGGACAGGGTTGGCAGAAATGAGTGTTAGGTGGAATGTGATGCGCATGTTTATCTACTAAGTGCATTGATACCCTTGTTCTCCCAGGGTATCGTGTATGTTAAGGTCTCAATGCAATTGACTTTGTCATTGTGCAGGCACAGTTGTCTCCCCTACCATGAATGGCGGTGACAGGCAAAAGCCTGGCAACATGTACTTCAGCATGCCAGATCATACGCCAGTGACTTTCAGGTCAGTGGTTTCAAGCAGTCGAGCCAACAGCACGCCTTTCTCATGTTTGTTATCTTAAAAAGTGTTGCTATTTATTTCTACTTTAGTACAACTTTCCAGAACTTGTGTGCTTGCTTAGGACATTGCCATTTTACAATGTACCAAAAGTTGTATTGAGTAAAGGAAAATGCTTTGCAACGTCCTTCTAATCATTTCCCAAGATGACAAGGACAGTTTTAAAGGTCGACTAAAGAAACAGTGAATGAAAGGAAATGGATCAAGGTGCTGGTTTTATTGCTGCACATGACCTGATAAAGCCTTCATTAAGTTATGTGAATAAATTAGTTGTTTCAAATTTATTAGTGAATTGCCCTCTTCAATATTAAAAAAAGCCACTATTACTCCTAGAGGCGGCCTGATAAACTAGGAGGGAAAAAATGAAAAACAAAAATCAGTGCCACTTTCAATTTCTGTGCCAACTCTCTCAGAGATGAACTTTGTTGGTTGTTTCTTTGATATCTACTAATTGATTTGTGGGGTTTAATGTCCCAAAACCACCATATGATTATGAGAGACGCCTTTGATATCTACTACTCAGTCGTAATAAGCTTAATGAAAAAGGAATTTACGGTAGATTCAGTGGGCCTTATGATGCAACGTGGCCGCAGCAAACCACTGTCAGACACCACACGTATCAGAAATAAGGCTGAAAGTGTTAAGCAAAGTATCCATTTCAAAAATAAACATCCTATGAGTTTTTCTTGCATGTTGGTCTCTTTTTTTTTGCGCTGCACAAAATCGTTGAGATATATTCGTACCAGGATGGCCAGAAAGTAAGTGAAACTTTCAAACCACAAAGAGTTAATGCCGGGACATTTTCTTTGGCAGTGAGGTTGGAGGCCGAACACTTCTCAGGTTCCTGGTGGGAGACGCCGGACGTGATGCGGAGGAGCTGCTGATTAGTGAGACCATTCCATCCTGGGTGCATGATGTAGTGGTGTCTGTGAGTCCCACCACATGTTCTTGACTTTCTTGATCTGTGCACAAAAAAGAGCATAAGAATACCGCTCCTCACCACTGCGCTCGTTTGTCGGTACTCTGACTTCATTAATCAAATTTTATGCATCTTCGCTATAACTTTACTTTTAATAAGGGAGTGCTCTAAACGCAGCACGCCGTGGCATTTGCAGTGGCTGAAGCAATGTTCTTTTGTTCATGATTCTTCATGTTTCATTTCTTGATGTGTATTTTGGATATTGTACGTAAATGAATCGGTGAAAAATTTGTGGTGTGCGGGTACCTGAGAATGCATTTAATGCTGCAGGTGGGCCACGGAGTCTCCACCTATGCTCATGTTAACATTTTTCTCATATCCGTTGCATATAGACAGTCATGTTATGATTACGGGGCTATTGAAAGAGAAATATAGGTAGAAACGCAGGAAACAATAGTTGCGAGAGATCAAAAGTATGCAGGCCACCACTTGTTGACTTGTTTTACAGAATGTTTACTTTAACACGTTGACCATTTCCAGAAAAACGTGCCCCGGTTTCCCAAGATCCCATTTTCGCTGCTTCCACACATTACGTCGGGTGTGAAACCACTTCGAAGGTGTGTGCTTTGTTCCTGATTTTTTTTTTCTGATTTTGTGTTAGTATGAGTACACAGACACACACCCTGTAATAGCTTTTTACAGTGGTCGCATTGCAAAACATAGTTTCAGTGCATAGATGAAGATAACTTGTGGTGCACAGCACATCAGGGATATGGTTTTTGTGCTTACTCAAGTTGTGCAGTGAAACCTGATTTATAATAAACTTGAGTATAGCAAATTGTATTCTACATTGAACCTTCATAACTCTAAAGCATGGTCAGTGTAAACGGCCATATATTCATGCATATAATCCACACCTAAACAGCCACTGCATAGAGTTGTAAGCCGATTGTAAGTTGGCTACTTGTTCAGTTGTAGCTCTCTAGCAGCTATGCGGAAGTACGGTTTAATTGGAGCACCACAAGAAAATTGAGACACGGAAATATGGAGGTAACAACAGAAAGTTTAATTCTTATTTGTTGTAAAGCTGCTCCACCCACTCATAGGTGGCAGCAGCTGTCGTAACTTATGTTCACATGGGGTGACACATCTCAATAAATTAAATTAAAATGTGAGAACAGCATGCAGTGTGACGAAAATTTAATTTTTTATTGTAACAATGCTGCCTCTGTATTATTGTCTTTATCACGTACTTGGAAATTATTATTAGAAGTCGAGAAGAATTTATTTTAAACAGGCATAACTATATTTGAATGCTAAATACATTTGAATAATATTCATAAATTCTGCAGTTTGTTATAAGCGGGTTTTATTGTATTAGTGCTGTCAGACTGGAGTGGTAGAAAAGAAAAGCCCTTTATTGGTTTAGGCAGTTAGCCAGTGGCAGAAAGGTCACCTATCCACATAAAATTGAATTCATCTTTTTATGAAGGTTGTACAGTTGAACCTTGTTTTAACGAGTCAAAGCACTGCAGTGTGGTACCTCTATATTATTGCCACATCCGTCATATGCAGTGGGTAAGCTGTTCCGACTTCTCAGCATTTTGTGGATACTTGCACAGCGTGGATGGCAGAAAATGAAGATGCAAGTTGTAGCGAAGGGGAAGAGTTGAAGTAATTGCCACATCTACTGCGGATCTGTAGTTTCCACATCTATTAGCGTTCATGCAAGAGAATGTTAGCGGGAGTTTTGTGATAACTCTACGGGCAATAGGAATTTCCTCCATGCCAAGGGCACTTGTGCATTCACATGGTCATGATCATCACCATCAGCATTATCACGAGAACCAAGGAAGCACCCCAACTGGCCTCTGCAGCATCCGGCGCCTCCACTCTCGTTGGTGCATTAGATGCGCAAGTACACTCATTGTTCCTCGCAATATTTTTTTATTGTTGCGTATCCAGCCCAACTTGGCAATGATGCGTGCGCATTCACTGTCTATCCTTCACTATCATTACCATACCTTCAGAATTCATTCATTTCACTTTCAGTAGGTGCATTGGGGAACACTCTTTTGATTTTGACATCAAACGGTGCGGGCCAGTGCTACAGGTGCATCAACAACCTGTTCATGTTACGTGGACAGTTGGCAAAAAAGGTGTAGATATCACTTGGTGAGATGTGGCACCATGGACAAAACACGGTGCACTCTATTTCACCGTCTGGACAAACAACACTGAAGGGGAAAAAGCAGTGCCTTTGTGGGTGGTCGGAAATCCGTGGGAGCATTGAGGTACCGCATAGAACGAGAGCATATCGGCATCCAGCTTTGTTTCACATCAGTGCATTGCACAGAGTAGCATATTCTCATTTGCCTGAAGAAAACCTTTTTTAAATGTTTTTGCCCAAAAGCAAGGAGCAATAAGAACTGAAAAAACAACTGGTGCATGCCAATATTCTTCAAAGTTCTACAACTTTGAGAAAATCGCATGTAAGGCACCTTATTATATACCCGTATCACACCAGCATTTTTAAGGCTTGTGAAAGCCTTCTGGCTGAGTGGCAACGGAGGCATTGTTAGATGGTCAGTTCCTGTCTACTGCTTGGTGAGCAGCCTATTGTGTCGACACAGTCACACAGAATTTCATCGAAATATTGTGTGCCTTTGGTTGCTGGCGAGAAGGAAATGCATTTCTTCGTATGGGAGACATTTATTCTAATATATGCTCTCTGGAATGAAAAAGCACGATTGAAAATACAGGCAAATGAAGTAGTCACTAAGAAGTACCTGTAGCCCTTGATGTCAGTTAAATAGTATTTTAAAAGAGCAAAACCCTCAGATGAAAAATTATTTAAGTAAAGCTTAAAAGCGAAATTTATGAATCATGGAGACATTCTGTTTTGTTGGAAGCTTGGTATTGCATGTTTTTGCATTAATGCACGCATTTCCACGAGCCTTGCAAAAGTTCTGTTTCGTTGATCTTATTTTTCATTTTATGGTCTTCTCTTTTTTTAAAACGAGGTTCAACTGTACGTAAGTGTAGCTCTTAGATGCATGAGATGTATATTAGCCCGAGGGGCTGCTTTGTTAGGAACGGTGTTTTTCCGACTGAGAATGAACAAAGCGGTTGATGTTTTGGTTTGTAAAAAAGATTTGAAGAAATTTCAAGACTTCAGCATTACAAAAACTTAGCAGTGTCACGTAGCGTATTCATTGAACTTTTCATTTATTGGCGACATTTCAGCGGTTTATGTGGTGAAGCAAATGTTATGATTTTAATTGCCTGCTTGCTATCACCTCTGTTTGAAAAGGCTGCCACTTTTTTCATAGGCCATTTTCATGTTCGATACAGCCAAATCAATGCATGAAAGGCAAACGTTAGGCTTAGCTGTAGTGAGAGATTACTACGCCGCACATCCCTCAGCATTTATTCATATCCAAGAAATATTTCTAACTTGCGAGAAAATGTTGACAGTCTTCAGGGAAGTATCACTAGTGAAATGTTATGCAGACATCTGTGTCAATCAATGCCACTGATTTGCCCTTGCCTTCTTAGAGATTCAACAAACGGTACAAATGGTGCCATGTACTACCACTATCACTAGCACTGGCAGAATGGTTAGAAAAATACTATGCCTAGGAGTGCAACTGAATGAAAATCCTGCAGTATAAGCAGTGCTGAAAATTTCATCGTGTTTAGGTTACTATTGTTTTGGTATACTTAGTACTACTTTTCAGCGAGACATCAGCATAAGTTAGCACAGTGCTTCCACTGTAATCTGCTTGTTATATCATATGTTATTTCTTCAAATTTGTAAGCCCTGTTTATGGGTAAAAGTGTCATTTTTGCACATTTCACTTATCTCTCACTGTAGCTTGGCTTAATGTTTGTCTCAAGTGTCTCTTCGATAGAGGGAGGACCACTAGTGTTCATGTTATACAATGGCTGCAATAATTTTACACTGATTATACTTTTTAACTATGATTTATGACAAAGCTGCTGGTATGATTTTATTCTAATCTTCTGACTGAGATACAGATATCAAGTAAATTACTTGTGCGTAAGCCCTTATTGAGGAGATAATCTTTATTAACACACCAAATGTTTGTGGCATGTAATATATGTACAGTGCAGTGCACTATGTGCCCCTCGAGTCATTTATGGGGGAGGTAAAGCAGGTTCATAGGCAAAGCAATTTGACAGAGTTCATAATGCATGGTTTGACATCGATTAAGTATAGTAATGGTGAAAACCTTTATGTGAGCTTACCCGCTGACTTCTTATTGTGTTTAATGGGCTCTTTATGGCGATGACAGCTCAGCATGCTCTGTCTATGCTTTTTTGCTTGGCAATGCCTTTCACTCCACTTATAAGAGCATCCACCGATCTGCATGGCTTATCATATGTACTGTAGTTCCAATCGTCACATGACACATTAAGTGGCATCCAAGTTCTCGGTGCCTTTGCAGTGTCTTTTTGTCACTTCGGTGACTATACACCGACGAAAAAATACACAGGCCGTGGCCTATCGTCTAGACTAGAAGTACCATACCAAGTTACCAGCTAACAAAGAAGTTTAATTGATTAGGTAATTTATTTATTTATATGAAGTGCTGTTTTGTAGAATAAACACTGCAAACACTGAACTTAACTGTAGCTACGGACGTGAGCATTATACGTGTCTCTCACCGTATGCTCGTTGCTTTATGTTGAAAAGAACAATGCCACCCCACTGCTCTTGTATGGGCTTCATGCTTTTTTGTCTTTCCTGGGCTACCGGCATTTTCACATATTTTTTCAAAGCCTAAGAGCTTGTTTTTGAGATAGCAGCCATATTCTCACTTTGTCTTCATCCAGGTCGGAAGTAGTATGGGCAGCCTGTATTTATTTATTTATTTGTTCTATGATCTTATGTAGATCACAGCCATTCCTTCTTTGATCTTATATAGATCACAACAAAATAGCGCATAGCAGTTCTCGTGAAAGAGGGATAAGGAACAAAGGAACATAGCAGTGCAAGTGGAAAAGACCGTAAAAAGCAAGTTCTGTTTTTCATGTGACGTGTGAACTTCATGTCACAGTATCACCAATAGGGCTATTCCATTCAGTAATGTTTCCGAGAGAAAGGGCACTTCAATAAGTAATTTCAAAGAGTTCAATGTGTCATTCTCAGAGGTATCAGTACGAAATTGTCACTTACCCTATTCCCTTACAAACTCTTTAGCCCAGTTTCTTTAGAAAGCATTAAAAAAAAAAAAAACTCAGTTGTATCCCACGAATGGCTTCATAAATTTTGCCAAACCTTGCCTCTTTTTGGCCAGAACAATTTGTACCGGCAAGCAATAATGTAATTGTGCTCTCTCTCAGAAGGCACTCTCAGCACTGCCAAAACCACAGATTATGTGCAGACGTCCCTGTGACTGGTGACAGCTTCCTTCTTGAAGAAATCGTATTGGTCATGCAATAAATGCACTCACGCAATAAAGACACCTTAACTTTGTTTTTTAAAAAATGCGATTTATTCTCCCCCTCACAATAAATGGTCACATAACATTTGTCTCGCATAGTTCTGCTGATTAGAAGCCCTACTGTTGCTGGTTTCTTCTCTCTTTGGCTGATTATGATAGTGCTTGCCACTGGTAATCTCCATCAAAATGCCATCAAAATGAATGCGGTTGGATTCCACCAAAATGCCATCAAAATGAATGCGGTTGGATTCCACTGTGACATTATCAAAACCACATGCAGACAGTTTCGCTACTGGGAGTGGGCCGGTAAGCCGTGCATGTTTGCCCCTGCTTTTTGATTAAAGTGAATCTTTTCTTGCCTATTTTTGTATGTATACTGTCGAAACACCAACAAAACATGATCCATGGTTTGAGTGCTATGCTTGCATGCCATGCATGCAAGCATAGCATGATAGGTAACTATCACCGGTACTCCTGTATCGCTGTGTTTTCTGACACCCTGGGCAGGTTTCACACAACAAGGCCTCCTGAGTTATAGTAAAACATTCATCTCTTGATTTTATTCCTTGCTACTTTATTACATGACATTCTTCTGTGTCGTGCCTCTTCAGTGTGCCATTTCTGCATCTCTAATGTTGCGCTCGGTTCCGTTCTCGTCGTCGCTTTCCGTGCTTGCTTGGGGGGGGGGGCATAGGCCACTTTATGTGCAAACAATGAAGCACAATTTCATTGTAGTTTGATTTAGATGCATCTTGAAGAACCGCAGGTGGTCATAATTAATCTAGAGTTCTCTCGCTACAGCGTGCTGCACAATCATTTGATGGTCTTTTAAAAGCACAGAAAATTAACGAAAATTACGTCTCCTACCATTATATTACAGTTCACAGCCGTTCATGCCTTTTGCTCTCTGCATTTTATCAATAAGTTTGAAATACATGCAGGGAGAATAGTCATCAGTGGTCTATAAATACTCACTATGTACACCCGTAATTGAATGTCCTCACTTACATAAACATTCAGCATTTAAGACTGCATTCCTCTATACTTTTTCTTTTTTCGTTGCAGAAAGGCGTAACTTGCAGCCTTTTTTCAAGTACTCCATGCAAGTAGTAACTACAAAAAGAATATAGCATTACCTTTGTATTAAGTAATTCAAATTCAAATTGTAAAATCAGTCAGACTGGTTGTTTCTTACGTCTACATTAGATTGTACAACGAAAACGAAGATGTTTTATGTATTCAAACAAAGAGCACAGACAGAATTATCTGTGATGTACAGTCATGCTCAGTATGAGTTGCAACGCACCGTCTGGGCTCATAATGACACCAACACTACAAATCAGCACCTACATAGAAAAAAAAAAGGTGAATACTAACACTCTCTCAGTTAGTGTTACTTTCTTAACCAATTTAACATTCTTCGGTTTAATCGTTCAGGCTTGAAGCCATTTCAACTACAGCCAGCTTGTTGCGACTCATATTGGGCACGATTGTACATGTTGAAGGTTTTTTACATCCACAACGCAGAATCGGGAGGGGGGTATAAATACAGCTAGTGGTCACGTCTTTTTGTTTCCAACTGACCTTTTTTCGCGCTGCAAAGCTCGATGGCCTCCCTGCCTTTTACTCCCAGTGGTGATGGGTGGTGGATTTTTTGGGCTGTCGACGCACTCTTTCAGCCTGACGACTTTGAGCACCTTCCTCTTGTCGTGCACCCTTCATTACTAAGGCCCATGTTTCTCTGCTCAGCTTCATCGTCATTTGTGCTGCTTTTTTTTTTCAAATGCTTGCACTCGGCACTCCCCACCTTGCCCGTAAGTGTCAGCTGCATGCCACAGGCATGCCCTCGCTGGGACATTATCATCAGCAGCGTACACTCCTCCCACTCTTATTTCTTCCTAATCATAGGTAATGTAAGGTTGAATAAAAATGAGGGCCTGTGAGCAATCTGCATTTCATCACTTAAAAGCTGCCTTCCCAGAAGCATGCTTTGTTATGATTACAGTTTAACCTCTTTATAAGGTGCATGCTCTGGGCAGCAATTATTGTCTTTTATATGAGATGTCTTCTATAAGCAGGAGACCTTGTATACATTTTCCTATCCCCCGTATTTTACTGTAAGCACACTAGAGTCTCTTATACCTATTTATCTCTTATATCACTGTCTCTTATAAAAGGGTTCGACTGTACATATGTTTTACGGTATGCACGAACAATAGACAATGACAACATATTCATGTCTATTGCATATCAAGCGTACCAGTGTCGAATCAACCACCACATTAGAATACCTTTTGCAGTTTTAAGATGTAACTTTATTTTGACAGATAGTCGCAACTAGCTAACCCACAGCTACATCTAAAGCTGTCTTTTGCTTTCTGCTCGCTGTAGGAAAAAATAATAATAAAAGAAGAAATGGATACTTGTAGAGAGCCCTTCTGAAATATAGTCTACAGACATTTTATCTGGCCAGCTTCATGAAAGGACACTGTTAGCATGTGTGTAAAATGCTGCGTGGTTGAGCCAGCTCTTAGATTTGGCAGTGCTGCGAATGTCTCCTGGGATAGACCGCACTTTAGCCAAGTCTAATGTTTGATGTTTACCTCCTGCGTTCTTCTGCGAGCAGCCACATTTGTTATATCATTATCGGCACTTAACCTTCAGACACATCAGACTCTCATTCACATAATTGGGGCATTAGATTGTGAACAGGCAGCAGCAGCAGCTTATATTTTGACACAGCTGATTATGTAATGCACAGATTAAAAACAGTGCACATGCACAATAATCTTTATTATATATTTTTTATACGGAACACTACGTTAATAGAACTTGTTCAGGTAAAGATTCATGAATTTCATTGAGTCAGTCAGTCAACAAACTTTATTGGGTCCTAAGGAACTACACAGTCGTAGTGGTGGGTCGCACCCACGTTGGGTCGAAAGACCATGGTCCTGCACTCGTTGGCGGGCCCTTTGGACAGCGCTTAATTGTTTATGGAGATCGCTGCTTTTGGGGGATTTCTCCCAGTCCTCTTGTTTGTTAAAAAAGGCATTTTGTAATGCCGAACACTGCCAGAGCATGTGAGCATGAATTTCAAGATTTCGATTTAAAATGTTTTATATGTATTTGAGCTTGACGCAATACAGATTTTTTCTTTGCTGTAGCTAGGTTAAAGAGAGTATCATTACATAATTTTCAGCTAATTACTGATACATTATAGGTGCCCTACAATACTTTTTGAAGTAATTATCAAATGACCTCATTAGTGGAGTTGGTTGCTTTGTGAACCAGCTATCAAAAAAATTTTGTAGCATCCAACAATGAGAGCAGGGTTAGTGTGTTAGTGGTATACGGTGTTCTTTTGGTGCTTTCTCTTCCCTCTCGTCTCAGCGAGTGAGCTGAAAGCTACAAATAAAGGGGGGGGGGGGGGTACAAAGGATAAAGAAGCTACATTTTTACGTTGGCGCGCATCACTCCCTTGAGCAGTTTCTTTTCTTGAGCATGCGATTGACTTTCACTGTAATCATGAGTGTGACAATGTAATTCTATGTCGTAATTTCTAGCACTGCAATATACGATGTGGACACACTGCAGCAGCTGCTGCAGCTATCTAAATCACAATGCTGGAATCGTGCAACAGTGGTGTCCATGTTATTTTGGATTTATGATGCAGTTGGTTTCAGCCATATAGCATCGTATATCAAAAGAGCGAGCGATTTCTAGCTGACATTGAGTTTAATGGTAAATTCGCTGCCAAGGACTGCATCACAATGTTTGGTTTACACATTCGTAGGTGCCTCAACCACCACTCAGCAGCATTTTCTGACTATGTTCAAGAAGTGTGGCAGGGCCCCTTTAACACTTTTCTTACTGCACCATAAAACCTGCTCAGTTTGCTTAATGGTTTCTTTTTCCAACAAACCCTGAAAATTGTAGCGCCGCTCTATGAGTAAAGTCTCACGTCATGCAGCTTGAGTGTTAGCCTTGTATCGTATGTCACGTGTGCCCACTTGCTGGCACTTCAGCAAATTCGTCTTGGAAAGTAAAAAGATCTACCAGCAGTATTGTCACAATGGGCCTCTGGCTAACATCCCATCAAAATTATCGAAGCAAAATATGCGCTTTAGCTACAGTAGTTCTGAGTGACAGCAGCAACAGAGTCGTGGCAGATTGTGTGAGGTCACCTGTTTTTCAGCTCCGACTGCTATGCATCGTTACCGAGGCCTCAAACTTCGGCACATGCTCGGAGGTGAGCGTTGTTTTGGTTTTATTTGCTAGTAATACTGAGAGCAATTTTATATACGTCCCTATGGTTTACTTTCATCTATTACAATATTGACAAGAAGACATTAAGCCCAATACTGTCCATCATGCAGTGCTTTGATTGAGACAAAGGCATGCAAATTCTACTAAGCCTTCTGTAGTTGTCAACTGGGCTTCTCTTATGGTAGCTCTGAAGCTTTACTAAAATGCCAAAGTGGGTTCGGTCTCATTCAGAGAGGAGGTGATGACTGAAGCTTTGAACCATGTAATCAACTGGATATTTTGTCAACTGTTTATCTGTTTTTGAACATTTTCTCTCTGTTGTCATTATTGCCAAAGCATTTAATAAAGCAATCAAATCACTGAAATTACAGCAAAAACAGGTGAAATCAACAGGCCCAGCAGCATCACACATGTTTCTGTTGTCTTTTTTTTTTGACAGCTATAGTACCATTAGAAAAGTTCAAGCTGTGATCATAATGTGCATTTTTGGGGATATCTTATTTTTGTGACACAACATTAAATAAAACTCTGCATTATTTTCATGCTCTATCAACATCTTGATTTCTCGAGTGAGAATCAACGAATTAGGATTGCGTCTTTTTTCCCTTATGTTGGCAAGCTCACTTATGTGTATGCTACACAAAGAAAATAGTCTACACATTCTGAGGCACTTTTAAGCACAGAGCATCCGCGTACATGTTGCAGGCAATGGCCTGTGCCAACATGGTGAAGGTGGGTGTAGTCGTTTCTGCGTGCCGCACAAGTGCTTTGCACGGGTGGTGTCATGACAGTTGGCCCTCCAATAGGCTGTAAAGGAGAGGATGTTTGTACGGATGGAGGGGCACATACCGTTGGTATTGGGCAACACTTGTTCCCGCTCACTAGATTGAAGAAGAGGTAGAGGGGGCGCACACAGCTCTCAGCACTTGTGACTTCCACGTTCCTTGTTCCTGTTCATGCCTTTCATGGCACAAAGAGGAGGATGTTGCTTTGATAAAGGTACTTGAAAGGCACATATGCACGCTAAGTAAGGTATTAGTCTTGGGTGATGGGGAGCCATGCTTGGAAGAACAGTGCAGTGGCATCGCAAACATAAACATTTTAACTAGTGCAACACAGTGTAAACTTATTGTGGGCTACAAGGAACAAATCGACGTGGAAAGGACGACACTGGACTACACAAGCTCGAACTAACATGTTTACTTTTACAAAATTGTGACATATTAAATACACATGAAGGGGCAGGGAAAAAAGAGGAATAGAAGGAAACGCTCATATGGGCAAGAAATACATAAAGAGATATCCTATCCTTAATGAGGTGCAGTATTGTCTCAAATGGCCTATGGCTAACATCACATCAAAATTGTCAGAGAAAGATAAGCGCTTCAGCTACAGTAGAACATCCTGTGTTGTTCTTTCTACATAGATTTTGTTTCCTTGTAGCGCGCAGCGTTTACAGAATGTAGAATCAACTGGCCCTTACCCTGGCTTTTGTAGTGCGACACAACAGACTCACGTGAAGGAGTGTTGGACTCGGTGCTACCATCATGTCTTGCACGTTCCTTCTTCTGCATCCTTCGTCCTTGGTGTTTTTTACCGTCTGTTTCTTCTTTTTTACTACCCATGGTCCTTGCTGGGTGTTGCATCCTTTGTGTCTTTGAATGTGTCTATATGTACTTACACCAATCATAACATCTTGGTTATTGTAAAATGCACTAACAAACCCAGCTTTTCTCATTAACCTTATATAGAGGCCATCGTGGAAGGTACACACAGACACTGAACGCCACTTGGTGCCAACCAATGGGTATAGAAAGCAGCGCTTTGCATTTGGATGAAGTAACTTTGGAGGGCTTTTGAAACATCTGAATCATTGACGAAGCAGTAATTTCTCAAGCCTAGCTGAGCTTCATATAACCAATTAAGAACATGAACATGCACTGTGTACGTTACACAAAGTACTTCGTGTGCTTATCCATCACCTGCTGCATGCTTAGACCAAGAAAAGGAAATTCAAGTTTTCCTGGTCTTTCACTTGCTGAAGAACCGAATGACCGCCTGCACAGCAATTCACTGCTTTACGCACACAATCTGAGCTCACCAGTATGACAAAGAGCAAAAAACAAACAGCTTGGGTCTTTCTTTGTAGATTGCACAAATGTCAAAATGTTATGCACTTATTGCACTTTTCAACCCCCATGCTACATCTGCTCATGCTCAGTTTAGTAGCTTTGTTCTCTCTTTTTTTTTCTTTTTGTTCAAGTGGTGGCCTCATGCATTTAAAAAAAAAAAAAAAAACGAGGCTTTATTCACGCAGCTGTCATTTGCCTCATCGCATTGCCATCATCATAAGAGAAGTGTGAGGATATGCCAACGCAGCAGTGGTGCGCACATATTTTACTAAACTGTTTGTCCTTAAAATCAGCAGAACTGGGAAACACCACCTTTGTTTTTAAGCAAGGAATGTAAACATAAATATACCTCTGCTTGGAACTAGGCCTACATTTACGCAACTCCGCAGACTTTGACAAGTGGGCACATTCACCGCCACAGGAAGAACTAGCAATTGAGGCGGGTTTTCTGCCTTGACAGCTGACAGCCATTGTATGCTGGAACTCTAAGGAGTGGCAGCTAGTTGCACTACAAAGTTGTCTGATTGGTTGTTTTCCAAAAGGGAGCTCAGGGATAGAACGGGAGCTGCACAGGGATAGAAACATAAAGTAGTGGCTTGCAGTCCACCCCTTTCTTTCCTTTTTTTGGGAGAGGGGATCAATAAGCAAAGAGCCTATAGCATAACTTATATCAGCCACATGGCAGCAGTGGGATGGAGCAGAAAGCAGCTGTTTGAATGAGGCTTGCTATATTTCGAAATGGTCAGACTAGGAGGAGAAGGAAATAGCGGTATATGTCATAGTGCAGAGCTGATGTTCCATTGCACATTACGTTACGCTTTGCTAGTTTGCACTACATTATATTTGTTGCGAGCCGTAAGGCCCGTAATCTAAGTTTAGTTTGGCGTTTTGTCACATGAGTTGCATCCTGTGTCGCACATGTGCTCAAACGGTCATTGAAAGCTGTCTCTATTTAACTTTCCGAGCTGCCTGATGGAGATGAAAAGCCAACACATCTGAAAAAAGTGAGTAACTCGCTGTGGAAATGACTCAGTAAAATTGATATATTTGCATCGTGACACACATGTGAACACTGTTAAACTCGAATCGGATTCTATAAATACAGCACTGAACGACCACTGGGAGCGCATGTGTGACGCCAGCATTAAATTGGCAGCAGTAGCCCCGGTCCCACTATCTCAAAGCATGCATGCCCACAATGCCGATTCTGTTTTCACTGCTTGCTGCACCATTGGCAGTGGGGAGACAGTAAAATAGCAGGAGGATGATGTCCTTTGTGTTGGCCTCTTGCGCAATGTGCAGGGAGCGCCTGTCGGCGAGTGACATGATACAGGTGCGCAAGGTGATTGAGCATGTCTACGAGAAGATTATGGGAGCAGGGTCAGACTCAAGTTCACAGACTCAAGACAGGAGTGGTGACTCCAACGGCACTACTGGCGCTGCCACGGACGATGAGCGAGCTTCTATTGCTGAGGAGAAGGTTGAACTACTGTGCCAAGACCAGGTAAGCACTATTCAGATCATGGGAGCGGAAGATCATGCTCTGTGTGTCCTTCTTTGTCCCATACCAAATTTGTGCTAAGCTGTGTACGTGCGATCAGCTTAGCACCAGGACTTAATCGACAAGGGTAAAAATATTGTGCTGAGGCTTTGTTCCGTCAAGATAGATTCCTGAGGAAGCAGTTTCTTATATTTGTGAAGCGTGGGTGCATCTTGAATAGTCGGCCCATTTTTGTTCATGGGATACAAGTACTAATGTGAGAGGTGCTACTTCAGACCAGCATGTGATAGAGCTTAGGAGTGCAAAAACATGCATGTTCATATGTCGGAGCATATTAGAGTGCTTCAGCTCTCTAAGGCTCTGTGATTCCCCCGTTGCAGTGTACCTTGCAGTCATATTGGTTGATTTGAGATTTGAAAGCCATTAGTTTTATAACTTCTTGTCCATGTGTAGGTGCTGGATCCATCTATGGACCTGCGAACAGTTCGCCACTTCATATGGAAAAGCGGTGCAGACCTGGTGCTTCACTATCGGCCAATTAAGTGACACCGGCCGATGGCGTGGAGCCTCCTCCTCCGCAAAAGCTGCCACCGTGCCGTCGGCACCATGTTTCTGTGATAGCCACCACTTCGCTTGGACCACAGGGCCCTAGCTGCCTCCTTCCTGTTCCGCCACCATTTCTCTGCACGCGGCCCCCTCCCGCTCGTGGGAAGTGGTCGTTTGCTCCCTAGGTGCCCTACCACGCGTCACCATCGACGTCATGCCTTCATCTTCGCCTCCTGCTTCTACAACAAACCTTCTGCTGCGTTTTATACAGAAACAGCGACGTTGCGGCTTTTTTTTTTTTTTTCCCCTCGTTACCGACACCTTGACATGACCGAGCCTGTACATCAAATGTGTGGCTTTGGTGTCTTACAGCCTTCAGAGCGAGTAGTAGAGAACTTTGAATGCAAGTACACTTTTCAGGAGTTCATGTGCTGATGTAGGTAGCACTGGAAGCAGCTTCTCGTTCATTTTCTCAGTTTTGGCAGTAGGGAGTAACCTGACTGGCAATTTGATTAGTCCAGTGTCACTGTTTCATAGTGTGCCTGCACACATTGTGCGGCATGTTCTGCACTCCTAGTCATTAATCAGTGGGGAAGGTGAAAGATCAGTCCAGCATAATGTTGTCTTGGAGTTTCGACCTGATACTTTACGCCAGAAGATTGCCAAGTGAGCTCACTCTTCACAAAAATAGGTTTTTATTAATTAATAATTGGTGTACTCGTTCAATTATCCATCTGATAAATTGTGCTTTTTTGCTTGGTGAAACTATGGCAAGAAAGTTTTATTTTAACATGTTTTAAAGTTTATCAGAACTGGAAACAAGTTTTATATGTTTTTTTCACCTACCACAAACAGCATTAGTTCAGACTCGTTTTATTTAAATGCTCTTATATCTCTGCACAATCAGTTGCTATTGCTGTTTCTGTGGCATCTGTTAAGCAATCAACCGCAGTTGTAATTTCCATGCAGGCCCTACTGCCAAGGATCTTCTGCAAGTAGTGTAATTGCTGCATTGCTACTTGGTGCTGTCTCATGTGTGTGTGTGTTACTGCAGAAGTCTTAAGCTTTGAAAGCTGTTCTTTTAGTTGGCTGTGTGTTGCTTGACTGACAGCAGCACAGCACAAACAGGCCCATTAGCAAACGTTGACATTGTGCTCGATCCTTCGAGAGTAGGTGTTACGTGTTGCAAACACTTTTTTAATCTTTTGTACAATACTGAAACTGGTGGTAACTTTAAAAGTACCGAAAGCGCCACGGTCGAGCTGCCACTTTGGAAATAAAAACTTTGCTGAAAGGGTTGCCTGATCTTGCTGTGTTAACTTGAATGAAAAGTTACTAGAGAGTTGTTAGGCTGAAGGACATGACTGAATGGGACCATTGTGATATACAGTGTTCTTGGATGTGAATAGCCCATAATGATAGCGAATAGGGGAACGCGGATGTGTGCAGAATGCTATTTATTTTCATTGTAGTCTCTGATTTATAAAAAAGAAAGAGTGCTGTTATGTTGTTAATGGCTCATAATAGGCAGCACACTCTTTAATATTACTGGAAACTGTATTTTAATTGTAAGGCTACTTTTTGTTCAGCATGAACTCGTACCAATAGTTGATGACTGACCACAATGTGTGAACTGTTTGTGACTTGGCATACAATATGAATAACAAGCAAAATATTCATATAGCACGCCATCAAGTGCAATCATGCGAGTCTGATGCAGTTCAGGTTATGTGTGTTTCATGGGTGTCTTGATTATGGCGACGGATCCCAATGTGGTTTGAAATATTAGTGTTTCCGTTAGTTTCTAAATTTGCTGGAAAACATTTTCGATATATTCACAACCCTGAATTGGCTTGCCAGAGGCACAGTAATTTGCATCAAGATTTGTGATCATTATTGAGAATATTGAATGTTTGTACTGGCACTGTATGTAGTAGCATCGTTTGTGACAGCCTTCTATGCTATGCGTAATAGCACACTTCTTTTCGCCACATTTTGCCACCGAGTATGGCCATATAAGTCCTATTCTTTAGCTGTGAAGCTCCTTAGATGCAATGCGTTGCCATGTATGTGTGCATGCTTTTGCAATTTGAGGTGTGCCACAGCTTTATGAAGAAACACTGTTATCCATTGATAATTAACTTTTAAGTCATGTTACGAGAATGAGTGCCCTGCCTGTGGTCAAGACAAAGCTAGAGATTTTAGTTGCCACCTTTTTGCGTTCAATGATTGTGTCACCGAATGCCGAGTGTTTTAAAGGCAAAGGTTTCATGCGAGTTCCGGTGCTATCCTTTAGTCATGCTACGAAATAGAAATTACATGCATGCGTGAAGAGGTACTGGCTGTGAAGTGGCCACCGCAGTCACTTTTAAACAAGAAATACATAATCTACTTCTCAGTTCAGCCTAATTGATGCATTTTCACAGTTTGTAATTTTTTTGTTGGCTTCAGAACTAAAAACATCTTGTATGTTGCTGTTTGTACTTGTAGCCACTTGTTATTAATGAAAACAGCTGGTATGCAATGGCAGTTGTAGATTTGCTGCTAGTTGCTATCCTGGATGATGGACACAAAAACAAAATCAAGGTGGGAGCCGACAGATGGAAGCAACGTAGTGGGATAATCAGGGTGAACAGTGGACACAAGAATAAACATGGCAGTGCCCGCAAACATGTTTCTTTGATCAGTTTGGCTGGTTGGACTAGTTGGCTATTAGGTTGGCTAGTAGGTTGGGCTTGCACGGTTATTGTGAAACAGGGCATGAACAGAGTACTAACTTGGCACCTGTTATGTCTACCTTTTCATTGTCCTCATTGTTTTGTTTTTTTTAGCTCTGTTTACCGATCGCAGTGTCTCAGTGTCTTTTTTCCTTGTCCTTTGTGCGCTCCCGCCCAGGAAATGTACTCCTATCTTGCCCATGTAGCTTGAACTCTTCCTATTTCAAGTTTACTGATTTTGCCTGCCTTCCAGTCAGTGGCCAAAATTGGCATACTTTTGTATAGCCTTTTGAATATCTTTATCAGGCTATTGAAAAGTGCAGATATATATTTGAGGCTCGTGGTCTCTAGTGCGTCAGGCGGTATTCCATAGAAATTTAATGTATTTGAAAAATAAGTATAGTGTGATTGGTTAGTCTACGAAATGCTGATATTAAGTTAGGTTCACGTGTGCAAATTGGGCACATTTTTAATACCTTAATCACTGGACCTTATGCAAAACATTACAGGCACACTTTTCCATGTGGCTGAAATGCCACCACTAAAGCAATAGATTTCGCACTTAAAAAAAGTAGGTGATGACCCTGCTAGCCTAGAGAGAGAACCAGAAAAGCTACATCTCAGAGTTGGTTTCAAACCTTGCGTCCGCTTTATTTGTCGGTACCAAAACTGCACAGCTGTTATTTTCTATGCGTGAATACAGATGCTAATGATAAAAGCATAAAGGTTCTAAGCTGTATTCTAAGCTTCTTTGAGTAAAACGAGCAGATTTCACTTCACAATTGTCCGATAGCATCCTTAAAACAGCTCGTGCAGTTTTGCATACCTCCTCGTCAAGAGGGATCTCCCATTGTGAAAGCAAAACTTCACCAGAAAAAAAAAATACTGATCATTTTTGTTTATTAACTTGGAACTCTCCTCTGGACTCACTTGTTCGACTTAAGTGAGTTCTGAACAGAGATCCAAATGCAATTTAGTGTGGTTGCGTGTCAGATCCGTTAAATCAATCCAACAGTACAAATGATAATGATAAGAAATGCCCCTAACATTTTGGAATACCTTTGAGAAGTCCACACAATAAGTTCCATTATTTACTTGCCTCTGCATGTTTGTTGATGTAAACAAGGAAGGGTATGTGAAAGAATGACTGCGTTAGTGCCTGCAGAGTCTGCAGCATGTGGTTCGAGCTGTCTTGTGCACTGGTTCCTCTTTGCGCTGCTGAATTGTGTCCAACTCCGAGATGCAGAACTGCCATATGCCTGCTGGACTGATTGCTAATGTCAGACTTGTTGTGGCCGTACTGTTTAAGTGTTTGTGGTTTACTGCCAAAGTTACTTGTGGAAATTTCTTGTACAGGTTTGAGTTTAGCAAGTTGAGTTGAGTTTCTTGAAGTAATACTTTCTGTGAGAGCATGTTTTTGCTGTACAGGGTGTCAGACCATGTGTACAGGCTGAGTCTTCAGGATTGCTTGAGAACTGCGTGCTTGACAGTATATTTCCGACATGAGTGTATGCCAAATTGTGCAACCTATTTTATAATATATGAAAGGGAGCTAGATTATGCAATGTCTACTGTATGTAAGGCAGCTGATTTGTGCAATGTGTGCTGTGTTACCCGGGTGTTTTGTCACAGCCGTTTTGTTAGTCGTGCAGTTTGTTCATCCGTACTTTATTATTGTGCGTATGTGCATTGATCCTGTTCTCCAAGTGCTGCCCAACTTCTGTATTCATTGACATAACTCCTGAAGCGGAGTTTTCTCAATCTTGTGCGGCTTGTACAACAATCATGTTACTCAGTATTTCTTGGTTCCATTGTTTATTAAGGGTCTAATGATGTCTGCCACTGCAAAATTGTCCTGTGCATGCAATTCTACAAACGTGCAAGTGCAGTCTCTGGCCATTGTGCTAGTCAGCCATTCACCACTATGTACACCCCCTGAATGAACATATAGTATTGAGCTAATGTTCTTAATTTCTTAATGACAGGTCAAATACTGGCCTAATTGGCCCACTAAATCAAATAAATCAAATAGTCACTATTCATAGATTCAAATGTTCTTCAAATAGATTACCGATAGGTCAATTAAACATACATACAGAGTGGAGGGGGCATAAGTGTTATGCCTGCGGGCATGAGTTGTGCCTACAGGCATGAGGAGGCATGCTGTATGTATGACATTCAAAAGATCCGGCAGGCTGGAATATCAACGGCTGTCTTGTCTATGCACCTAATTGCTATCAACGGCTGTCTTGTCTATGCACCTAATTGCTAGCTCAGCATCATCAGTGACAATACCGATAAAGCATTCTTGGAACTTTCTGATTTATTTATTGTGCCATTTGCAGGTAAACGGTAAGCTGTCATCAATTAAGAGCTTCGGAGCACTAGGCTCCACTAAAATAGTGCCTGTTACAAGCTGTCCTTACTTTGCGTTTTCTGACACTGCACTAGCATTGACAGTGATGTGCACACGCTGCATACACCAATAGTGGTGAATGAATGGCAGGGCGGCACTAAGGTCGCAGGCACCTTTAGTTGCAGAGCTATGCATGCAAGTTTATCAAACATGTGCAAGTGGCAGTTGGTTGCACAAAGCATGAAATTTGTTAATGGGTGATTGCACCGGAAGGATGTAATACATATAAAACTCCAGTGTAAAAAGGAACATCTAATAATGTTTAAATTATTATTACAAAAGTATGAATTTTCACGAATGTAACTTGTTCTTGTGTTTGTGAATATGGCTGGCAATTCATTTCGCAGCAAGAAAAAGACTTGAGAGCCACACCAAGCGTTCCTTTTTATATGGGTGACTGTGTTCATCCTTGTATGTGTGCCGTGGGATGCACTTACTGCAGCCATCCAAGGAATGGAAAATTTTTGTGACTTATGTGCAAGGGGCGTGTCAAAGGTTTGGTCACAGCTTTATCATGTCATGTTACTAGTCAAAGCAGGCGCAAAATAATGAGAACTGTGCTGTTTTGTGTTGACGGTACATGTGTCGTCATTTCTAGCAGCGCCTGTATTTGCTTGGAAATTAAATAAGATTTTAGTTTTTCTTGCCTCGTCTTACTGTTCTCTCGGCACGTGTTGCGTGGTGGCCTATTGCAGCATGTACGGCATTGCTTGCCGGCAGGTAAGGGGTAAGTATTCTAACATTTTAACATTAGTGCAGAATACAAAATTATTAGTTCACTCTGATGTTATATTGGCACAGTCAACTGCTCATGGGTGGAGTTATATGAACCACGCTTTTATAGACACTGTGTTGCAACTTCCATTTCACTTGTACAGTTAAGTGTCAAATTCATGCATGCTTACTAAATTAAGTTCAGCCAGCTGTAAAATTGAGGCCTGCCCTCTTTTGCCACATAGTGGCTATGCTAAAATGACTGTTGAGTGACAATGTTGAGTTGCCTGTAAAGGTGAAGCTATTAGCTTTACCTTGGGACATACTAGTAATCTGCATTATGTGGAAAGAACGAATAGATTTTCTAGTCGGCCACTGGTTTAAGTCTGCTCAGGGTGGTTGCATTAAAAAAAATGTTAGTTTGGTGTGGTGCTTATCAGAGGCAAAATGTTTATAATTAGGCTAGTGGTATTGGTAAGAGTTTTCAAAAGTGGAGCATAGAGCTTTCAGGTGTATTAAATTTAAAATGACATTTTGGTAAATATAGACGAACTGATGCATGAAAAGGAATTAAAAATAAAAAATGGAAGAATTCGTCAGAGGTTTTAAAATCGTATCTACTCAAGTTACTCAATCTCTCTGCCCTTGGATAAGGTGACCTCTGGCTGGCACCAGATATCTAACCCAGTACCTCCCACAGTGCAAGTAGAGGCTCATGCGTATTTTCCCAACTAAATGTTCCCTTGGATGGTTGCTTTCTACAATACACGCCGAAAAAGTTCAGGTTCTTATCACCCATGAGAAACCTCAACTTTTGTCTCGTGTCACAGCTCGAAACGATGCACCCAGCATGCGTATTTTCCGAGATAAATGTTCCCTGGTAAGTTCGCTTTGCTGCAATACATGTCAAAAAGCAGTCGAAAAAGTTGACGCCCTTATCACCCATGATAAGGCTCAACTTTTGTCTGACGTCACAGCTCGCAACGATGCACACAGCATGCGTATTTTCCGAGATCAATGTTCCCTGGTAAGTTTATTTGCTGCAATACATGTGGAAAAGCAGTCGATAAAGTTGAGGCCCTTATCACCCACGATAAGGCTCAACTTTTGTCTGACGTCACAGCTCGCAACGACGCACCCAGCATGCATGTTTTCCGAGATCAATGTTCCCTGGTAAGCTTGCTTTGCTGCAATACATGTCGAAAAGCAGTCGAAAAAGTTGAGGCCCTTATCACCCGTGATAAGGCTACACTTTTGTCTGACGTCACAGCTCTAAACGACGCACCCAGCATGCGTATTTTCCGAGATCAATGTTCCCTGGTAAGTTTGCTTTGCTGCAATACATGTCTAAAAGCAGTCGAAAAAGTTGAGGCCTTATCACCCATGATAAGGCTACACTTTTGTCTGACGTCACAGCTCTAAGCGACGCACCCAGTATGCGTATTTTCAGAGATCAATGTTCCCTGGTAAGTTTGCTTTGCTGCAATACATGTCGAAAAGTAGTCGAAAAAGTTGAGGCCCTTATCACCCGTGATAAGGCTACACTTTTGTCTGACGTCACAACTCTAAACGACGCACCCAGCATGCGTATTTTCCGAAATAAATGTTCCCTGGTAAGTTTGCTTTTCTGCAATACACGTCGAAAAGTCGAGGCCCTTATCACCCATGATAACGCTTAACTTTTCTCTGACGTCACAGCTCGGAATGACGCCATAGAGAAATAAAAAACAAGGTAAGAGTGGACACTCTCATAGACCCCAGCGGTACAATCAAGCCTAGCGCACTTGGTGGTTGGTGAGAGCAACTGGCCTGCGCTTTCAGTTTCGTTTTCACTGGCGCGAATTTTGGATTACTGTGCGCAACCAACGTTTAGCTATGGCGACAGTTATTGATTTCAGACCACTTCTCTTCGCCCAAATGGCAAGCCTTTTATTTGTTGTTTTAATTTAGCTATTCCCTATTTTGTCCAGCTCAAAATTTTTGTGAAAATTGAGGTCATGACGTAATATTCATTTCAACTAAGTTGACTACTTGCAATTATTTGTATTATAAGTCACTACGGCTTTATTCATTGGTCTTGTTTTTTTTTTTTTTGAACTAGTGCATCTACGCATCATTAAAATAGACAGGAGACGGAGTGTCCGCAATGTTTTTATTCAAAGGCAATGTAGAGGCTGAGCATATAAATAGTACCAAATGAGAATAGCATCATACAGCAATGCTTGGCTATACTGCATACATTGCACAATGTTCACATCTTGCCGCCACATACAGCCGCAAACTGTTTTTTTTTTAAACAACTGGAAAATTTCAGAGGGGCTGAATCCCTGATCCCCCAACCCCTCTATATACGCCACTGACTGGCACGTACACAATGATTGTGTGACTGAACTCTAGATGCTGCGACAAGTGCTGTAACTCTAGTTAGCGGTTGCCCTCTCAGTAATATCCTCGTTATATCGAAGACTGGTAGCCTTCTTACACATCAGAACGTCAGCCCCCATCAAAGGATGAGAGATGACCTGTTTGATCATCTTGGCTGTTGACTTTGGTTACAAGATGACATTCTTGAACATCTGTAATGTGCCTTGAAAGAGTGCTTTGTTCTCAATTTCCAAACAGACTGGTTGCATTGGCTCTGTTTAACCACACCAGCAGCAAAATTTTTCATTGATTCATTTTATTACCACAAAGATCCGCTTGGGATATTACGCGAAGGAGTGGGCGGTAGAAAGGCTATTAAAATGTAATGGTAGTTATGATGGGATGGTTTCGATGTGCCATTTGAATGCTTAGATGTCGATGATGGTGGCGACTTCAGTGGGCAGGTCATCCCTTCGTATGTGCGAATGGACCACACCTACTTGTGTATTGAGGCAGCGAGGTAAACAACAAAATTTTATAATATTCTGAACTGCTGCTGGTGCGTTCGATTTTCCAGACATTCACTCCAATTCAGAGAATATATGTAGTATCCCCCAAAACAGACATCACAGCCATAACCTGTCCTTCCACATTTTTGACCACTTTAACAGATTACTTTAAAATGTATGAAAACTAGGCTTGTGGAAATATTGAATTATATGTTTGAAATGAATTCAAAGCAAATAGTGATTTCAGTCGAATAATTTTGAATTGAATTAGAATAGTATATTTAACATATAAAAAAAATGGGCAAATTTATCATGACCTAAGTAAGCAGTAAAATATTTAAAAAAATTGATATAAGGCCTGTATCCAAAAGCCTTTTTTTTTCATTCAAAGGAAGTCAAAACAATGTTGAGTAGTAGCAGGATTCAACTTTTGGTAGGATCGAGTAATAATTAACCTGTAAAATGTTTAGCTTTTTGAATTCGTTATATCTAAAGCATATAAGCCAACATAACAAGCTCTTAAACTTAAAAAAAAAATGAGAAATCGATTTGAGAGTAATATGCTCTTTTAAAGGGGCCTTGCAACATTTTTTCAAGTAGCAATAGAATTCATTCACCAATTGCCTCAGGAATTCACCGCCCCAAAAGTTTTTAGAATGCGTCCAGAACGAGCGGAGTTGCAAAGATTTGTCACACACTACAATTGCATTCTCACTTTTCGTCCTGCCGAAAGCTAACCAGGGAGGGATGATGTGGGAAAAGAAAATACGTCAAGCGCACCTCGAGCCCTTATTTTTTCTGATTCGAATGCGTAGGTTTTCAGTGCGATCGCGCACGTATGCGTGCACCGAGTCGCAGCCGCCCACGGCGGTCCCAGTAATTACCGAGCTGCAATGCTCAAATCAGCCAATGGCAGACAAAAGTGGCTGTGAGAAGTGAATTCTAAGCTTGTGGTGTCATTTGTCGAGAAGAGATCAATTTTTAGCTGACAAAGAATTTACTCTGAATTGCAGGCCGCGTGCTGCGCTATAACATTTGGCTCGCGTGTTCTAGAGAGCCTCTACTACCGATCGGCAGCGTTTTCTGACCATGCTCAAAAAGTGTTGCAGGTCCCCTTTAAATTTGAAGAGGGGCTTTGCGGCAGAGCGCAATGCCCCTGGAAAGGTGCTTTCACGGTTTTGCACTCATAAACTGCCGTGAAACCATCTTTACAAAAGGTTACATGCGGTTTATTTACACTAAAATGAGACGTTTTAGAGTGGCACTCTTTTATAAAACAGGGGAGCGGTCACGACACGTCAAGTGGTAATGGCGGAACCAGCCTGAGTAGCCAGCCAACCAAACGTCGTCTTCTTCACTGACTGAGTGATACCCCTTGCCTTTCCGAGTAGCACTCATCTTCTTCACATTTTCCTTCCCTCCAGAAAAGCGCCATCCTGGCGACTCATGGGCAGGAGACAATAGAGGGATCGTAATATGGCTTTAGGCGGTCTATGTGGACGGTCTCACGTCCACGGCGTCGTTGATCATGGGGCTGCTCAAGCGGCTCCACGATGTAATTGACGGGTGAAGTTTGTTTAACCACACGGTAAGGGCTGTCGTACTTGTACATCAGTTTCGTTGAGAGACCAGGGCTGGTTGAAGGGATGCGAAGCCAGACAAGGTCATCCAATGCATAAGAAGCCGGAGGGGGTCGGGCGATACGGCTCCAGCATGGGCGCATTGTGGGTTGGCGTGAAAGGAGGCGCACATGTCTGAGCAGAGACGTCTGGGAATGACTAGGAGCCATTGGCGTCCTTCGGAGAGATAATTCCGTCTGTATAGCAAACCATCTCTGATAACGAAGTGCTGTATTTGACAGCGCATACCTCTAGAGATATTTTGCGAGGGAGTTCGACTCAACAAGTTGATAAGTGAAGCGATCCAAGGATCTTTTCATTGCTCCTGTAGCATGTCGCTGACACTAAGTGCAGATACGTCGGGGGCAGGCGAAGACGGCGACTTATCCCTACATCGTAGAGGTGATCGGGACAAAGCGTCTGCATCGGAATGTTTTCGGCCAGATCGGTAAACGACGTGAACGTTGTACTCTTGTAGCCGAAGCGCCTAACGGGCGAGCCGGCTGGTGGGATCATTTAACGAGGAGAGCCAACATAATGCATGATGATCTCTAACCACGCTGAATGGGTGCCCGTAAAGATAGGGTCGAAACTTGCCTATGGCCTATATGATGGCTAGACACTCTTTTTCAGTGACTGAATAGTTGGATTCTGCTTTTGTGAGTGCATGACTGGCGTAAGAGACGACGTACTCATCAAATCCAGGTTTACGCTGGGCGAGCACAGCACCGAGACCAACTCCACTAGCATCCGTGTGTATTTCCGTCGGGGCAAGAGGATCAAAATGTCGCAGTATAGGAGGTGACGTAAGAAGGTGGCGGAGTGTGGAGAATGCATCATCACAAGCTGACGACCAACTAGAAAGGTCGTTGTTGTCGGCAAGACGGTCAGTCAAGGGCGATATGATGGAGGCAAAGTTGCGAATAAAACGACGAAAATATGAACATAAACCGAAGAAGCTGCGAAGTTCTTTTAAGGTCTTCGGCTTAGGAAATTCAGTAACGGCACGGAGTTTCGTCGGATCCGGAAGAATGCCATCTCTAGATACAACATGGCCCAAAATTAGGAGTTTTCGAGCGCCGAAGCAGCACTTCAAGTTGAGCTGTAGACCGGCGGAGGTGAGGCAAGTAAGCACTGTCTCGAGCCGCTGAAGATGCGTTGAAAAGTCGCTTGAAAATATCACGACATCGTCTAAACACAGACATGTCTGCCATTTCAGGCCACGGAGAATGTTGTCGATCATGCGCTCAAAAGTGGCAGGCGCATTGCAGAGCCCGAATGGCATGACGTTAAATTCGTATAAGCCATCGGGGGTAACAAAAGCCGTCTTGGGGCGATCAGCCTCAGCCATGGGAACCTGCTAATAACCTGAATGCAGATCTAGTGACGAGAAGAACTCCGCGCCTTGTAAGCAGTCAAGGACATCGTCTATGCGAGGTAGCGGGTAAACATCTTTGCGCGTGATCTTATTCAACCGGCGATAGTCGACCCAGAATCTTATTGAGCCATCTTTTTTCTTGACTAAAACAACTGGGGAGGCCCATGGGCTGTTAGAGGGCTCAATAACACCTCCCTTCAACATGTCGTCAACTTGTTCCGCGATTATGCGACGCTCAGATGCTGATACCCGATATGGACGCTGACGTAAGGGAGCGTGAAAGCCAGTGTCGATTTGGTGAGAAACTGTGGAAGCACGGCCCAAAGTCAGTTGCTGGTGGTCGAAGCTGGCGTGGAAGCACTCAAGGAAGGCGATGATGTCGGTGCGCTGCTGGGCCGTAAGGTTGGTCTCGATACAGCGCGAAATTGCGTTGGTGAATGATGGGGAAGAGGATCACGCACAGCAATCAACAGCGTCAATAGGTAGCGTAGTCAAGTGGTCAGGAACTACACGTGCACTCGACAGATCAATGTCATCGGCAAAGCCCAGGCACTCTCCGCACAGTAACTTGGAAGGTGAGAGAAACGGATTTGAAACATAAATTGCACTTGATCCATCGTGAATATTTAGAACGGCAAAAGGAATCGGGAAGCACTTGCGGTGAACAGCGGTTTCAGAAGGCGTAAAAAGAACAGTTGAGCCACTAGAGACGTCACAAGAAAGCGAAACTAGGGCGGATGAGAATGGGGGTATCGAAGTGTCGGCGGCAACGAAAACTTTTGCAGGTGAAAGGGACGAGTCGAGTGAAGCAGCGTCGCATAACGGCATAGCGAACTCCACTTCGGCGCAAGCACAGTCGATGACGGCATGATGAGTGCAGAGAAAGTCCGAGCCTAATATAATGTCATGGAAACACTGCGGGAGCACTACAAACTCGACGACATAAATATTGTCAGCAATAACGACACGTGCTGTGCATGCAGCAAAAGGGCGAATTCGTTGCTCGCTCGCAGTGCTCAAAACGAAGTCGTGAAGAGGCATTGTGACTTTTTTTAGTCGACGGCAAAGTTTTTCAGTCATTACAGACACTGCGGCGCCAGTATCGACCAATGCAAAAATAGGTATACCTTCAACAAAGACAGCAACGACGTCGGACGGTGAAAAACAAGGTCTTGTGGAGTTCGAAAGATCTGCAGTTCTTGACCCCGAAACTGCGCCTCCTAGTTTTCCTCAGGGACAGGGCGAGGTCGACGAAGCATAGGGAAAGAGAACGGCGTTGAGGTGAAGGCGACCGGTGTCTGTTGAAGTTCCGGCGACGTGAAAATGTGTCCATGGTGGCAGGCTCAACAGATACAGCAGGCTCAGGTCATGGTGGGAAATCATAATTGTTGGGCTTGACGTTGTCACGCAGGAAAAACTCACGCCGTCGACAAAATCGTGCCACATGACCCGCAATTCCACAGGCGAAGCATTGGGACGGTTGTCTTGAGCGCACCAAGGGTTCTGAAAGCTTGAAGGTGGTGGTCGAGAGAAAGGACGGGCAGCCTGGTGCATAGGCTCAGTCGGTACGACAAAGGGGCGCGTGGACGTAGGCGTTCGCAACAAAGAAACGTGGCCGTTCACAACAAGCGGACGTCGGGTTCCATTCAGTGCTCCGGCATAGGTCAATGGAGCAGCCACAGGTGGTGCGTGAGCTGTTGGTAGCGCCTCGGACACTTGCTCCTGGACTACTCGCTGTATTGATGGCACTAAAGTAGATGGGGCACCTTCGGAGCTATAAGGCACGAGGGACAACTGGCGTGCGGCCTCCTCTCGTACAAATTGCTTGATCTCGAGAAGCAAAGTGGTGTGGTCTATAGCAGTGCCAGCTGACGTTAAAGCGGAGATTGTTGCACATGGCGCGCTGGCACGACGAGTGGTGTCACGCTGTTTCCACAGCTCATCATAGCTCTGACAAAGTTGGATCACTTCCGCTACCATTTGTGGGCTTTTGGAGACAAGCATCTCAAATGCATTGTCAGTCACGCCTTTCAAGATGTGTTTGATCTTCTCGGCTTCTGTCATGGCCGAGTTGACACGCCGGCAAAGGTCGACCACATCTTCGATATAACTGGCGTAATTCTCACCATTCTGCTAAGCCCTAGTACGCAGGCGCTGTTCGGCCCGTAGTTTGCGAAGCGCTGGACGGCCAAACAAGTCCGCAAACGCCGTTCGGAAGGCCGAGCAGGTGGGGAGGTCTCTCTCGTGATTACGGTACCACAGACTAGCGACGTCGGTCAAATAAAATTGGACGAGAGTAAGCTTGTGCGCATCGTTCCACTTGTTGTGCTTGCTCACCCGGCCGTATTCGTCGAGCCAGTCTTCCACGTCTTTGTCATCGGTTCCACTGAAGGTAGGCGGATCGCGTTGCCGAAAGGAGCCGTGACAGACAGGAGCTGCAGTAGTTGGAGCCGAGGTGGCCGCCTGCTGATCGTCGTCCGTGGACACCATAGCAACTGGAGGCAACGTACGGTTTCGCAATTCCAGGATTAGGCATTACCCAGTACCTCCACCAATTAAAATGAGGCGTTTTAGAGTGGCACTCTTTTATAAAACAGGAGAGTGGTCACGACACGTCAAGTGGTAATGGCGGAACCAGCCTGAGTACCCAGCCAACCAAGCGTCGTCCTCCTCACCGACTGAGTGATACCCCCTGCCTTTCTGAGTAGCACTCATCTTCTTCACTACAACACACATGCGTTCATTGCGAATACTTCGAAATTTTCAAGAATTTAAATTCAAATCAAAGCGAATTCAAATATTCTACTATTTGTTCGAATATTCGCACATGCCTAACTAATACACAGCTTTTATTTTTCATGAATGTACCCCCACCCCTCATGTAATGCCCCTTCAGTGGGGTCCTTAAGGAATAATAACGAAATGAAACTATGTATAAAAATATTTATTTCAATCAGTACACCTAAGTCATGCGTAAAAATATGCAAGATCATCTAAAATAATCTCTAAAACGTCAAATATGTAAAAATTACCAGGCTTGCGTAAAATAAGTTGAATATTTCCACCTGCGTGTCTCGTGAATCACAATATTTTGAAACTAAGAATCTCAATTCCTCAACTGGCCTGAAGTGCTAATACTATACACCAGTAAATTAAAGTTCATTGTATGTGTAGATGTGGCGTCTCCGTCGAGAGTCTGTTTCAAGAAACAGTTGCCGTCGAGGGGGAACATAAAAGGGATGCTTCACTTCAACTGAGCGATTTCGTAGAGGTAGGCAGCCAGTAGCTTGGACTGAAAAAAAAAAATATTACATGACAATTACTGCGTTATAAAAAACGCCATGATCATGTCTGACACCAAGTTTCGCTAAAACCTGCAACTTGTTCGCATTCAGTCTAATAAGCTGACGTGACATGGAGGTATGTTGTTACACGACACAATGTGTGAAGTGCAGGAGGAGGCGACATCTGAGGAAAAAAATCTTGGAAGACACTAAAGCTTCACCTTCAAGAGTAGAATGCTGTAGCGTAATCGGGCACAGTGCGCAACGCCGTCTCGATTGCTAGCCTAGCTTCTGTCATCTGCGCATGCCTCAAGCGTGCCGCAAAGAAACAAATGGCTACATGTGCATGTAACGTTGGCTGTTTCAAACTATCCAAAAATGTCTACAGTAAGTACAATTGTTAAGTGCCCACTATGCCATAATTGTTCCTTCTGCGAATCAGTAAAGTTCCCATTACATGTCTTTAAGGGAGCACGCTAACGTATGTTTGAGCACTTTCTAATAGGTGGTCCTTTAAAACACCAACTTGTCGTGCAATTCACATGTTTTGATGCCTGGCGTGGTTCTATGCTTCTGCCACGCAATATTTTGTGTGTTAAGAAGATTCCTTCAAATGAATGACATTTATATTGTGTTTTCTTTCCTGAATCAGTTTCGAGCATTAGCAAGGCTCTGTGGTAGAAGGTCTGCTTGCCACGCTGATGACCTGGATTCAATTCTCACTTGGACCGAAGCTCATTATGTTGTTTGCATCTTACTCGTTTTTTTCGGTCACAGACTTGACGATTTTTAGCTCACAATCAACGTCACTGACACAGACGCCAATACTGACATCGAAATTTAAGTGAAGGCTTTTTAATGCTATCGAATTAAAATTTATGCTGTGCACTAATGTAACGTAAAGTACAGTAGTTCCCTGCAATTGTCATTCCAGACATGGGTTCGCCATAAGTTAGTGGTGAGAGAAAGTGTGGGCTCTGACAACATATTGCACACGGCAGGCAGGGCAGCAGGTGGGTTTGAGTACTAGGCCAAGGTTAACGGCATCTTTTAAGTCTCAGCAAGAAAAGAATACAGAAAGATGGGCGCAGCTGTAAGTAAAGGCTAGATATGTCATTGTAGAAAACGATGCCATAAACACTGTGGGCTTCAGAAATCCACTACCTTCAATGGGGTCGCTACTAACTCGAAACTCGATATAACAAATCCAGATATAACAAAATACCGGCTATAACGAAGTAAATAAAAAAGTCTTACAGTAGATATAGTGTTAAGAATAAACCTTTATACTAACACAGTTCCAGATATAACAGACTCATTTTTGTGTAAGATGCAACTTTGTCGTATGAGGTTTGAGACTGTCTACTTATGTGGAGAACTAGAAAACTGTCACAAAGTAGGTTTTACATAAGATGTAATGCATTGATGAATGCTGAAAAGCAAAACAGTTGACCCCCGACAAGACATAGAGTCAAAAGTAACAGCTATTTTTCAACTTTCTTCATGTAATACCTTTATTTATTTGGTGAAGTTGTCATTACCACTGTGGCATTTATTTCAACTAGTGCGAATTGTATTTCACACACACAATACAAGGTTTTTCTTATTGACTTCTTAATCTGCCCTTTTTTTTCCATATTATAACTCTTCATGGCTTTATAAAAAAAGTGAAGTAGTTGTACGTGCACAGATGTACATACACACAAACACACTGCACATATACTTTGTTATTACAGTCGTCCATCTACCTACTTCACCTAACACACACATTTTTCAGTGAAGAAAATGTTGCACCATTGCAATACAGCCTCAAATTGAGATTTTGGAGCAGATGCTCTTTCGCTCTAGAAAACAATTTCTGGGCAGTGTAGCATGCCAGTTGAGCAATGAGTACGAATGAACCCCTCCCTGCCACCAATGCTCGAAGAAACCACGCGATAGCATGGCTACTGAGGCACCAAGTGCAGCGTCCAGAGTTAATAGAGAAAAAAAATGCACTGTGAACAGCCAACAGGAAGCTCAGGTCAAACAAACACAGAGAAGTATTAAGTATAAGAAGCCATTTTCTCTCTCAAGTAGCTTGACTATTTCTCTAAAGAAACTTGCAGACCCTTATGTTTTTTAAAATATTTTTTTCTTGACAGGCCACAGTCAGAAAAATGCACAGGATATTCCTCCAGAGTAAAAGAAGGACTACTAAGTCACGAAGAATTATTTGGCGACGAATGGGTGTTAGCAGGAGAATGGAAAACACGAGAGATGGAACACAATCTACTACTGTAAGAGGACCTTAAGGACAATACCGGAGGGGCAGAAATGCATACAAATCATTGAAACAAGTTGATGCAGCTCATGGGCAGAAGTATGCTTAAAAGCATCTGGGCAGTAGCCTCGTTGCTTGATTACTTAATGAGGTTGTGAAGGTCAGGACAGAACAGTAGACTCACCCCTTCTATGTAGTTTCGCTCGTCAATCTTCTCGTTCTGCGAGTGGGCCCCATCGTCACTGGCCCCCATAGGAAGCAGAATGACACTCTTGTTGGTCACTTCCTGCAGTGTCAGCGTCACTGGGATGCTGCCGCCTTCTCTCGTCATGTCGGGCTCCACACCATACACTGCCGTCACAGAAATCGGTAGCCACAAACTTGAGCAACACACATCGCGCATCTTTCTTAGATAAGGACTCAATGTTTGCGCAACGATATCATGCCACAATGATACTATTGTACACAAACAGAAACTATAGAGCACTTTTTCACAGAATGCCACAGGTATCGAAATTTAAGGCGAAAATTTCTAACACCAGCTTTTTGAAAACAACGGCTTGAGCTGTTTGAAATGGTACTAATCTATCACGTCACTATTGGTGAGACAAGTACCTTTTGTACTCTATGAGTAATCAACATTTGACCATCTTAAAGTCACTAAATTTTATGTTCCGGATTGCATACTACAAGTGCCTCGTAACCAAAGCTTGTGATAACCTACATGCCATGTGAGAATGACCAATTGTATATCAATGAATGCCAGAGGCCTGCCCGAAATGCATTTGCTGTGAGGTGCATCACATGTACATGCATACAAAGGAGTGCTCAGTCATAGATGCCCGGATTGTGCAGGGTGTAAAAAACAGACTTGCACTTTTCTGCCCATTGCAGAAAAATATGCAGACATATATGGTAGGCATTTGTACGCTCAGAGTGTGGAGGAATAGAGAGCAGCAAAAATGGAAGCTGTGGTGAGCAAGTCTGGAGCTAAGTATTTAAATGAGGTACTAAATGTTACAGCATTAGCAGGGCATGGTTACTGAAAACAAAAATTGACTATAGTGACTTCTTATTTAACAGGAAAAGGCAAGAAAAATGAAGCTTTCATCAATGTGGTACAGTAGGCAGTTTATCTGATCATATGCTACTAATAACTGGAGTTCACTGAAACCCAGTCAGTAGTAGGGCATCATCCTGTCTTACCAGTTTCTCCCCATATTAGTGCATTTGTTCTTGCACTTCATATTATTATGCATCTTTATCAATTCATTCAGCTGTCTTGGCTAGTTCACTGTGAATTCAATCATTCATATTTTGGGTTGACCTTCATGTGTCTATTTCTTAACAAGACTTAGCGAAATCACACTAATTTAAATAGCTTAAATGATGATAAACACAGCCCTACAGAGTGGAAAGGAAGGGCTAGAACTTTTTGTATTTCTATGAGTTACCTACTTACTGCACAAGCCCTCAGTAGCTAAGGAAACTATGAAAGTAACAGAAGTGAAGACTGCAAATTATGCAAGACACTTTTGAAACATAAGATCATATGTCAGTTTAAATACCTGGAAGCGTTTCACACTCCTATAATATCGGGATGAATTCCTAAATTAAAAAACTGCAATGTGACACGGTTGAAAATGCTGTGCAAAATGGGAGAAAACATGACAGAACGTGCCGGTGGAATCAAAAGGCGGTTGAATAAAATATGCTCACCATGCTTAGTGGCTGCCTTGCCAGCCTCGAAGTTGGGTGAGAAAGGGTCACTAATCCACCACCGGCCACCACTAGCCATGTGGACACTGCACAGAGTACCACCACACTAAGCAATAGTAAGAAAATGTGCTTTCTGTCTCAAAGCTATGTTTATACTGCAAGCGGTAGTGTAGGCTTACAAATTAAGCATGAGAACACGAGGGGTCTCTTATAACGAGGCCTTGCAACACTTTTTCAGCACAATATCACTTGCAGTTGCACTAGCTCACATATGTAGATTGCAGACCGATGATGGCGAAAACCATTTTGAAATGTCGTCCAGAGAGGTTAACAAACTGAGGGCGATGAAAGCAGTCCTCAGCTTTTTGAAGGAAAGAGACTTGGACCAGCTGTTATAGAATATTAGTGTTATGGTGACTGTGAAGTGAGACTGAGTACGCTTGCTCTCTTCCCTCTCTCTCTTTTTCTCTCTTTCAAACTTCCTCATCTCTGTCCCCAGTGTAGGATAGCATACCAGTCGTACGAGACCGGTTAACATCCCTGCCTTTCCTTTGCCTCCTGTTCCTTCCTTCCTTTCAGAACGATCAGAAAACGCTGCCAATCGGCAGTTGAGGCTTCTGAGAACAAGCGAGGCAAACATAGCCCAGCAAGCGGCCTGGTTACAATTCTCAAAGTCAGCTGGACATTGCTCACTCTCCTCTCAATATATGATGCCATAAACCTAAATGATTATGCCTTAAGCGAAACGCCCATGGCCATTGGCTGATTTGCAAATAGTAATCTGCATATTTACAGCTGCTCACATGGGATGCCGGGATGTGCCTGTACGCTCAGTCGCAATCACACTGAAAGCAAGCCACACATTCTAAGTAAAGTGCTCAAGGCCATAATGTGTGCTGAATAACAGATCTAGCTTTTTGCCTCTTGCCCCTTCCGCCCCCAACCCTCTACGTAGCTCTCAGCACGCTTTCGGATACAAAAAGAGAGAGAAAGCACTGAAAGCATAAGAAAAGTGCCTGCGACTCGTACTTGATAGTACAATGTAACGACTCGTCCAATGTAACGCGTATCCTAAACGATGTATAACTTACGGATGTTTTTATTGTGTGCTTTTATTGTGTGTTTTCCTGATGTCCTTTCTGCGAAAATCCCGACAAGGGATTGGCAGTATTTTTAAATAAATAAATAAATAAATAAAATAGATTCGACATTTTTTTGCATAAGAGAATTCATGAGACAATAGACTTGTTTAATGAAGCCATTCGATGATTACTTGGAAACATGTCCTCAAACAGCACACGAAATGAGTTGAAGTAACAGTTCATAGTGCTTTTGTGTGTTTTGTGACACTGAGGAAGGCATGTGATAAACCAGGCAAGACAGGAAAATACACATAAAAAATCGAGCAATATTTGGTATTGCCGCAACGTAGAAACAACAAGACGCAAGACTATTGCGACAAGATTAGGCAAGGATGTATTTAAACACAAGAACACAAGAGCAGACGCCCCAACGTCGTTTTTCTCGGAAAGCCGGCAACTGCTGCTCGTGCTGCTCGCTTCATTCTCCTCTGTTGTGCTGTCGGCTATTAATCGTGACAGTATTATTACAGCATCCGTCTCTGCACATTTTTGCAAGAAACAGCAGCTGACGTGGCCTATCGGATGCTTTAGACAAGTGTAATTCAGACTGTCTAGAAAGATGCATTAGGTGGGAACTTACTTGATTTTGTTGGGGCTTCCATGCTGCTTCCATAGCTTCTCAATGTGCTTTTTCACCAGGGCCTCGACTTTGGCGGGCTCCTGGTTGGGTACAATGCGGATTGAAAACTTGCCAACTACCTTGCGGGGGATTACAGTCTTCTCTCCTGCTCCATAAAAGGCACCCTCTACACCTGCAGGCCAAACGAGTGAATATTTATCGAACAAGAGCTATTGGAAGGCACCAGCCAGCAGTACTACCAATATTTTGCACCATAGTTATGAACGGCGCAAAAAACACATGGAACACAGATGACGAAAACCACACAGACATGAGCTATTGCTATTTATTTTGCACCAAGTTTTAATTGTACAGGTTAAAGACAGTCATGCTACCAATAGGCACATCAAATCGTAAACTTCAAAGAAGACTGATGCTTCTATAAGCACGTACATTGTCGCACTAATTGTAGCCCTGTAGCACTGGCACCTGCGTATTAATAGTGAGAGTGAGTGATGTACTGGTGAACATGCCAGACAACAAAGTGTCCAACAATGTGTATTTTTTGCTTCCACGTGAGCCTGCCATGGTTGAGTAATGGTGATCAGACTTCATAACTTTGAGACAAAAAAAAAGCTTTTTTTTTTTTTTTTTATCCACATGGAGGAAGGAGAAGGCAAAGATGCAAAGGTAGGGCAAGCACGTTCAGGTAGGTGGTCATACAAGTTTACTGTGCATGACTTGTCAATAAAGCTTGAGAAGTTACCCTCCACCCTTGCGCCCGTGTTGTCATCCTTGTCTCTTGTCCTCGCTCCACTTTTTGCACTTAGAAGTAGTTCCTCGACTGTTGATGTTTTGAATTTTAAGTTGACCTTCAACTTTAACAAATGCTGAACTTTACATGCTCCAAATAGATATCGAGACAACAGTGAGTGCTAAGCAGTAAGGCTGAACGCAGGGCGTGAGTTCCCAAATTCAAGTTCATTAAATCTGATGGGTCACAATTGTATTATACGAGCCTCATCAGCAGCAGGATTCGGGAACTGCCCTACTTGTACTACATACACTCAAAGCTCATATATAGCACACCGTCGTGTGACTTTGACTTGAGTCTCCTTGCCACAAGTTGAGTTTACGATGCTGCTTTGGTTGATGGTATATTCTTTCTTGCTTACATTTGAAAAGACTGAATGCGCATGTGCAGGGTACAAATAATGGGAAATTACAGATGCCACGAAAAGGCACATTTATACATATACTACATGGTTCTTAACAACACAAGCTGCCAAAGAATCATTGTGTTTCGTTTAACTTCAAGTCATTAGGCAATAATTTTTCGAATCAAGGTTCAAGTGAGTAAAAATGGCAGCACTCTGGACCTTTTGCAAACACAGCATAAAAGCACAATAAACAACAGGTAAAAACAAGAATGCACACACACCATGAAGAGAGAGCGATGGGTATCTCCAGCGATGCATAAGAATGTCTTCTTTTGTTGCGTGCAGGAGTCCAGAAGCACCTATATCCTTCCGGTACCCTTCCTGAATGAAGAAATTTGACAGTAAGAGTCTCCACAGCTGACCACAAATATGAGTACCAGTTTCTAATCCATTCTATATATAAAAAAAGCTTTGGAATTGTGGCTAATGCAAAGAGAATGCCCAACATCTGGTACAAATAAGTTGAAGTGAGTGATTTACAAATGACATGGCCTGCTTAGCTTTATTTACGTCAAAAGTGAACAAATAATCCAGAGTGGATGAACCTGCAATCCTAACTTGAAAGTAAACAAATTTCTCCACACTGGTGTAAGCACTACCACTGTGAGCGAAACTTGACAGTAAATACTATAATACTTCCCACTTTCCTTACACATCACAGTATGAACAACCATATGAGAGACTCCAAAGGCAAAAAAGAAAGTTCTTTATACTGTTCCATGGCCTAATTAACTTTCTCACATATCAATTACTGATTCCAAGTGTCCAATTCCAAGTGCACAAGGCTAGCTCATAATCTCAATTTTCGGCTGTGTTAAGTACACCCAATGAGAAAATTACCTCAATCATTGCTGTAAAATGGTGGAACAGTCTGCCATATCATCTCAAAAATTTTTCATTTTTGTATTTACTTGAGGCTGGGCTTCTGCTTTATTACCCAATTATAATTAAGAACCAATTATACATACCTATTTCTCAACATGTTTTCATTATACTGCAACCAATGTGTTCTAACACTGAGTTGCATTGAATTTTCTTTTGCTGCTACTGCTTTTTTACATCAGATGTTTTCTCAATTTTATCACTAATTGAGGGTATGATTGTTGCCCTTCACTATGGGACGTGTGTATATATCCTGCTATGTTCTGGCTCTCTACTGAAAAAATAGTAAGAAATATGTCAAGAAAAGTTGAAAACATGCCATATTTACGTGATTCTAGGTTGATTAAACTTGGGACCCAATTTTGGGGGGTCAGCATACAATCGAAACAAACCAGCAGTGTCAGTTATCGGGGGACAAGTGAAAAATCGGGATTGCTGTGGCATTATTACAGCATGAAGTTTTATTCCCAGCTCTACCTGCAACAAACACCATATTTTCTTGCTTATAACCCGCACTCTTAGCAAGTATTCACGAAAAATTGCCTAAAAATGATGCCCATGTATTGCTGCGATGCTAGCTTCTCTGAAAAACTGTAAAGAACTGCCATGAAGCCATAATTGCACATCGGATTCGGGCGGGTGTTGAGTCCAACCAACTATGGAGTCAGCCAGCATGAAAAAAAGTCCAGCAATTAGAGGAAAATATGCTTGAGGCTTGCATACTTCGATTTGGGTGGACGTTAAAAAGCCCCAGGTGGTCAAATTCCGGAGCCCTCCACTACAGCATTGCTATCATAGCGTGATTTCGAGACGTTAATAATAATAATAATTGTTGAGATTTAACATTCAAAAACCACCATATGATTATGAGAGACGCATTAGTGGAGGACTCCAGAAATTTCAACCCCCTGGGATTTTTTATTCTGTACCTAAATTTAAGCGCACTGGCCTAAACTATCTTCACCTGCATTTAAATTGCAGTCGCCGAGACCGGGATTCAATTCCATGGCTTTCAGGCCAGCAGTTAAGCACCTTGACCACTATACCGCTGCTGCGTGGCATTTTCAGACGTTAAACTTCGAAACTTTTTTTGTTACTCCAGCAACTGTTTAAATAAATTTACTTTCATAAATGCACTAACGCATTAATTTTTTTTTTCCGTGCTACCTGGGGTGGTCGGCCTAGGTTCGAGTCGATTTACAATTGACCAAACGAGGCATTCCACACCTCCGGCTGTTCATACCATGTCAAAGTCGATGCTCTTGTAGAGCTTACGTTCCTTATCAGTGAGAGGGGCAACGTCGTCCATGATTCCCGGAATCAGAATCTTTCCAGTGCGGTCGGCCAGCTGGCTCATCAAGTGCGTCAGGTCAGCCATGGCTTCGTATCTACGGAAGTAAGACAACTTCCCCCCTCAAAAAGTGTCTAACACCCGTGCAGGTGGCGTATCACTGACATGATTGAATGCCTAGCAAAGGGCACTCAGAGAATGCAAGTGGCAGTGGGTAATGAAAATATAGCCTCGCATCCAGGCTCCAACACTGAACCTATAAGCACACAGGTGCATATTGGATATGTGAATCGTAACGAATGCACCTGAACTCCTTTAATAAAATGTCTGTCTAATCATACTACAGAACCTGATTTCTACAACTGTGTCACTTTCAGTGTGGTATCCTAATTCTCAAAACTTAAGCTTGTTACTTTGGTGTCACTGGGCTGCCACCAGTTTTCATTTGGACATTTAATACTTGTGGCGCCTCTAGCATTTATCTTCTGTAATGCTCTGCTACATTGTGCAACACCCCACTATGCAAATGTGACATCCATGAGAAGACTATAATAAACATTCTAAATAAACAGTCACCAGCACTAAAGAGCACTTTTTCATTTATTTTGGTTAAAGCCGAACTAAGGCAATTATTGACACTGACAGTGCTTCTATTGTGATACCTTCGAAAAAATGAAAGCAAACAACAAAATAAATTTGGAAACAAAATAATTATTTACATGCAATTTTGGTGAACCTTGTTTCTTTTATCTAAGACAGTGTAGACGGACAACTTGTCACAAGAAATAAAGATGGCAAAGCAACTGCGCAAAGCCCTTGGCCAGAATACAAAATCTGTCTGTGAGAACAATTGTATGCTAATCCAGCTGCCAAAAGAAGCGGTGTGAAATTGAAACTGCTCGGGACCTCGAACCTAAGGTAAATGCATGTTGTACATGTTACGTTCTTACAAGGAACTGCAAGTGACTTTGCATGTGCCCCACTTGTCTACTGCACAGCTTCATTTTCTGTGTTATACCTTCTCTGGCGAGATAAAACAATCGCTTCATTATGTTGAAAAAAAAAAAGAAATAAGCGCATAGTGAAAGCAAGCAACTTTCCTTCCCTGCCATTTGCTTAATCGCTGCATTCTAGTTTCTCCAACAGCACTGAGAACATAGAGAAGCTTTAGTAAAAAAAAATAATCTTAATTTTAGAACTGGTTTTTTGATTGAAATCAACAACATTCCATGTTTGATTTCCCAAAAACAAAAGTCATTGATTATATTCTGGTCCCAAGTGAAAGTACTGTGAAATACTTGTTTCAAAAAACAAAAAGCACTTACACAGAGCCTCCAAAGACGCCTGAATGAAGGTCCTTGCAGGCACACTCAATTTCAACGGCAAAGTAGCACAGTCCCCTGAAATGGAGAAACAAAAATTATCCATGCCACATTAAGACTAGGACAATTCATTGTACACTTCATGCGAGTGAAAATTCCCTAGTACTTTGACAAATTTAACGTAGTGGAATGAGATCACAGAGAATGAGTAGCTAGAATGAGGAATCAAGCCACACACAGTGCCTACGAGCAATACCTTGTTCTTCAAATGTGCAAACATATTACCTATAAGCTAAATATTATATAAAAGTCACTTATAGTATGACGTACCTTTCATAACTTTACTGCTCAGAAGTAGTTCTTTGTTAGTAGTAGATACAGTATTGAAGAAAACTGCCTTATTTGTTTTCAGAATAATATTGTTCAGTGATACCTCAGCTTTATTTCATCGTTCTCATTCTCCAAAATAGTTTACTAGGAATCAAGTTATTGCTTTTCCAATCACTGCTATACTACAGTAGTATGCAATCGTGAAAATGATGAAAGGTCATTTTTATCCAAGAAAAGACAATTTACAAAGATGGCTTCACTGTATTAACCGAATTGTACCAGTTCGCCCACTCTTAGGGTGACCACGGCACCACAGCATGGCTGCGCACTGCACAGTGCCAGTGCTTTCAACATAGCGTGCTCCAGCTGGTAGCAAACAACACCAAGCACCCCTTAGTGCCTGTGCCACTTTGCTTCAATGCGCAGCTGCAGCGAATGCACTGGCTCTTTGTGAAGTGCTGCCATGATGTTCCGTGCTTACCCTGCAAGAGCCTGTATGAATATTAAGGGACCTTTGGCCTAGAGTCAACTCGAATTGCCGAATATGGCTTATTTGAAAATGGAGCGCTGAACATGCAAAGTCACTTGCAAAATTAATAAGATTACTACACAAGTAACTACCAAAAGGGCGCTCCCAAGTTGTTATAATATTATTCAATGCACCTGAGTCCATAGGTGAGGCATGGTTTGTCCTTTCCAAGCCAGTAGTTGTCAGAAATGCAGACATAGTCCACTTTCTTGAAGAAATCTGTGTCCTTGAGACTATACAGCAGCTTATCCAGCCCAATCGAGCCAGACTCCTCCATGCCCTCGAAAACAAACTGCAAATAATCCAAGTCAACAACAAAATGCTGGAATTCACAGCCGGGTATAAACCACGATGCCCCAATGGGACACTGCCAACGAGAAAGAAAGGCAATTTATATGATAGGGTTCCTTATGCATTCATAAGTGCAGTGCCGTCCTCAACCTATCTGAACAAAGCAGTAAACGAAGAGAACTATTAAGAAATTTCATTTCCAGGAAGGAATCATTCACCTTAAGTTTAAGGCCGGCAAATTATAACGAGTGAAAATGACTACACAATACAAAACATTAACTGGAGTATGAGGTATTATGTGCCAACAGGACATGATCATGATGCAATAATTTAGTCCACATGCTGTTCTTTATGCATGAATAAATCTGGTTATACAGATGTTTTTGCCCCTTTTTTCATTTTTGCATTTTGTGTAGTCATTTGCTGCAGTGAGTAAACGATAGCACGGTATGTACCAAGTTAGGAAATAACATCTGTAATAGCTCTTAAAAGGCCAGTAAACAACCTCGTGGTCCAAAAACTTTAATGAAGAAATAACTGCACACTTGTACAATGTAAACATGCTGCTGCAAGAACTTTGCGAATAAGTGCCAAGTTACAAGGTATAGAACGACCTGCGTTGGCTGGTTTCGATTTCTCGCTCGTCCTTACAACCCTCCTCTCACAGGGAAGAGGGGTAGGCATAGCCCTTTGTAGATACTATGGCCACTTGATCCACGTAACATGACATCCAGGATTACGGTATGTCATCAACACACAGCCAATGACCGAGCAAGGATTCCCCCCCCCCCCCTAACGTGTCATAGCGGCGCGGGGAGGAAGCCCGGTGCAAGTAGTATGAGGCACTGGCGAGGCATGCCCCGTTTCCCTTGCGGTAAACGAGCAAGATGCTTCTTCATTTCGGAGGCTTTTGTTCTGGCAGTACCACTTCTCCCGGTAGTCTCAGGCTATACAAAATGGCAGGAGACAGCACTGGACTACATGGCCAGCACTGCATCACCAATTCAGACTACATGGCCAGCACTGCATCACCGATGGGCCAGGGCATTGTTTTGTAGTGCAAAGAACTAATTGGCAAGCTCGATGGTGCGTAATGTTGCCCGTGGGCAAAATTTCGTCACTGCACATACAAGGAGAATTGACAGAGCATCATGAAAAAACCGGCAACCAGCTTCTATCATAAAAGAAAAGATAAAATTACCATTCCACCTGCTCGTCGAATCTTTCTGAATACAATGTACAACAAACATGATAAATCGAACACGGGGTCCACTCCCTGAGGTATACACAAGTGTGTTGAGCCTTTGGACACATATAAAATAAACATCGCCATGCATTTCTTTATTGTGAACAAAGCACTCCTATTGTGTGCCGAAATGTCAATTCTCTTGTCTTGTGTTCTTTTTTAGCTGGTGAGTGTACATTTGCTTCTACCAAAGAGGATTATACAGACGTAGGAAAGAGCCCCAAGAATTTTTTTTCAAAATCAAGGGTTTACGTGGCGCACAGGAGTGTAATATTTGAAAAATGTGATTGTCGCAGTCTACAGTACAAGTTAGCGAGCTTATTATTAGGGTGCACAAAACAAGTCAGAGCCTGTTTACAAGCCCTCTAAACCCAATTTCAGCTGTGGAAAACATGCATTCAACAATGCGTTCACAAATGATCGAGTAGTAATTTGCTACAGAAGTTGAGTGCACACCTTCAAGTTGACCGGAATATCAACGCCAGCTGCCTTGTATGCACGAATAGCGTGCAACCAGCCGAGCACTGGACCCTTGTCATCTGAAGCACCTCGCCCATACAGCTTGCCATTTTTCTCCGTCAACACAAAGGGGTCCGAGTCCCAGCCATCCTCCTGCATGGTGTTGCAGATGTTAGTAACTTCACTGCGTGGCATTAGTCACTAGTGAAAAATGCATGCCACTATCTTGTAGGCAAAAAAATGGTTATTTCTAAAAGTGAATCAAGTAAAAATTGAATAGCACCAGAAACAAATGTAATTCAATAAAATATCAAATGCTACTGTGGAATAGCACAAAGAGCAGACAGAGACACCTGCGAAATTCCAGCCAAGATATCTGTGTCCCTGTGTGCTTTTTGCGCTATTCCACAATGCATTTATGCCAACTAGCTCGGCTTCCTCTACTAAAAAATAATTTCAACATAATAGCGTTAAAAAGCTAATTTCACAGAAATTCTGGCATCGATGTCAAAGTAAATGTCGTTGGTTGTGAGCGAAAAATCATCTGGTCTGTGATTAGAAAATCCCGATGCACACAAAACAATAAAAATTTTCAGTTCCGTATGATGATCAAACCTAGGCCATCTGCATGGCAAGCAATTGTTCTACCACAGAGCCACAATATTTATTGACACTGCTTTGAAAAAAGAAAAAAAAATACTAAATGAGTGTCATGCAGTGAAGATAGTGTCCTTAATGCATCACATATTGCACAGCAGATGCATAGAATCACGCCAGGCATAAAAAGATGTGAATTGAGCAATGAGTAGGTGTTTTATAGGCCCACCCATTACAAAGAAGTGCTTAGACATAATTATCAGCAGCAGAGCCATCAACAAAGTGAACAGCTGCTTAGGTTTGCGTGTTGCCCTATGAATGTGTAGTGGGCCCTTCGCTGATTCGCAAAAGGAATAGTTATGGCATAGTGGGCACTTAACTGTGCTTGCAAGAGGCATTCAACAATACTTTGAAACGGCTAATGTTATGCACACAGTCGTTCATTCCCTTATGGCACAGTTGAGCCATGTGTCGAAAACTGAAGCAGACTGGCTCAAAAGGCGATGCGCACGAGGACCGATTACACCTTCGTGATCTACTTTTGAAGGTAAAGCTCAAGTGCTCTTCAATTTTTCAAATTCTTTTCAAATATCTAACAGCCTCCATTACAATTATTATGAAATAATGTTTATATCCTATAGTTTACATCCCGACCCAGAAGATTGAAGTGCAGCTACCAATTATCTCTGCTACTGTCATAACAGTCCCATTCTAAAACATGGCGATGCTCACTGAAGGCAGAATCCTTGGCTTTCTGGCTTATGACGTACGTCTGTCTGGAGAGCATGCCCATTGGTGTAAGCTGGCGTGCATCAGACTTTGAGGAGGTAATGCTGTGGACTTCTCAAGTCGTATCGTGTGGACTTCTTAAGTCGAAACTTCTTAAGTCTTGGACTATAGGATTCACAATCTTAGCCTTAAAAGCACAAATTAAGCACCAAAAACAGATACGGAAATTTTCCGCATGCGCAGAACGTGCACTTTGTGAAAATAATTATTGTAATAAAGTCCGCAAAGCCTGTCTCCCAGTGCTATTTAGCCTGTTGCACGAAATAAGGTTATGTTTTACGCTGATACTATGCCCACAAAAAAGAGTTTTTTTTGTGCTTCTAACTAATTTTTCTTTATTTAGGTGCAATTCACATTTTGAAATATTTGTAAAATGTTTGGCAGGTATAGGGATTTATGATTAGCACCGAATAGATTCAAAGATCAAGTAAAATAGGGTACTACATGGTTTGATATTCAACATTTTTGAGTACTATTAGCAAATCCCTGCTTTATATATATAACATAAGTGAAGAATGAGTGTACCACTAATGCAGGCTGAACATCAAGATGCCCATAGACGAGGAGGGTCTTCTTGGCGGGATCAGAGCCCAGGTGGCCAAGCATCACAGGAGGCAGCCTGAGCTTGGTTCCATCAGCCAATGTCTGCTCACCAAGCTCCTTAAGCTCGCACGTGGCACCCTCCTTCTCAAGTTTCTGCAAAGAAGATGGTCGCAGCTCTGAGAACAGGGCATGTGTTACTGCTTCAAGTTCACTGGATACAGTGCAGCAATGGGAAAATTTATAAAGCACTCTGCAAAGAAACAAGGGGAAGAATACACATAAGTATTGTTGGTGACACTTTGTTTAAAATGCAGCAAAGCAATGAGCTAAGTGCAAGGTATATGCGCATATACCTACATGATGTGCGAGTATCACTGTGCACGTTTGAGGTGGAATGCAGGGACAGAGGGGTTACTTTATATATAAATGCTTCAAGGCACGAAGGAGGGAAAAAACGGGGTAAAAAGGCCTGGATGTGTTGCAAAAAGACTGCAAATACAACTGCATTTAAAAATTGATGCATTAGATTAAAAATAACATCTACATGACCTTTAGTGCATTTCAAGGAACTAGATCTTTAACAGGAGTCTCCTAAAACTCTCCGATGCCACAATAAGATAAGATTTTTAACCCCGGGAAAGCAGAGTGCCTGTTGTGCAAGAGTACTAAAGGGATCTATAAAGGAACTGTGAAGTTTATGAAAACAATGCAAACACTGACTAGAAATTTGATGTAAGCTATCTAAAGAAATGTCAAAAGTCCTGAGACTACATATTAAAACCTTATATGAAAGAAAACCTTATATGCACTGCCTCTAATTGTGGCTGCAGTACTCATACCTCTTTCATCCATTTGATCATGCGGACTACTTCATTTCGTGCTTCAGGCCAACCGGACACACTTTTGATGGCTACTGCCTCACGCAGAAAGTCAATTAGCTCAGTCTTCTTCTGGTCAACAATGCTGGGCAAGAGAGGAGAAAGAATGCATGACAATTCTGAAAAATGCATCGAGGAGTAGGTGTCCCAGTACAGTAAAATGAATTGAGTGTGACCAGGGTAATTCTGTGTTATACACATCACTTCACTACATGCATAGCACATTTTAGTGACCACAATGAAGCAGATAAACAAACTTAGAGGAAATATATTTATTCACAGCAGATTAAAACAGCACTTGAAAAAAGAAAGTTCAGAATTTTTTTATGGATAGTGATATGACTACAATAGTAAGCCACAACATTGCAGAACAGCATTGGGAGCATTTTGCGGACCTTATTAATCAATTCTTTTTGGGCTTTTTTATTTTTGTAATTCTTAAAAAGTTAATGTGAAATGACCTTGCAGCTCTACCACTTCGTTTATTTTGGCTGCTGCACATTACGTTTATGGCTAAGCGTGTTTGTTTACAGTAATAATCCATCAATAAATGGTCCTTAAATTAGTCGAGGACTAATTTTAAGGACCAAACTCCTCTTAGCCTAACTTTGTCCTGCGTCAGGCGTAACCGGCAGTATCAGACAGACAAACGATGTGAGGGTGCTGACACCTCCTGTGAAGTTGTTTGCGCCGCGTGGCGCACGTGCCTCGTCCACAAGCCGCATTTCGGGTTACAACCACCAGGCGATAGATGGCGTTGTGTACGCGAGCGGTGAGCATCACTATCATCATCATAATAGGTAGAGTGTAGCGCCGGCCGTGACCCCTGGCGGAAGGCAAGCCTTGGTGGCGGGTGATAGTTGAGCGAGTCTCTTCTGCGCGTGGCGGTTGCCGCGAACGGTTGTCTCTAGCGTGGGTCCTCGGCGCGTGGCCCCGCGGGCTGCGCATAGGGGGCCCTCGTGGTAAGTCAAGCAATGGCGATGCCGCCATGGGTGTGTTTTTGTGTTTGTCATGTTATTGTGTGTTTGTCATGGAGTGTATGGTAATATTGCGTACGGATGTCCTAGCGTGTTGACAACGGTTGATGTATCGATTCGGCGGACGATATCGTCGTTCTAAATTAGTTAAATAAATGTGTGTTGTTCTTTACTTTGTATCGACCGCGTCTTCTGTGTCCTTTCACTCCAAAAGTGTGGCGTGTCGTTCGTTAATTCGAAACCACACAACGGATACACAGACAGATTGACACACACACAAATGGACAGACAGACAGCACACGCACAGGCACAGGCACGCACAGGCAGACAGACGGGCAGAGGGACAGACAGACAGAGGGGCGCACGCTTGGCCCGACTCATTATCATTCACTCCGTAGATGTGCTGTGATCTTTTTTTCTTTGTTAAGCTTTATATGAATGAGAATAAACAATGGACAAAAAACCCAAGGAAAGCATGGGGATGTTATTTGTAATAATTATGGTGTAAATGTGAAGAAAGTAAAGTGTACAGAAAGATATATTGCCACTGACACGGACCTAACCTGCGACCTTCCAATGCTTTATACTGAGCTACAGCGGCGGTCACCCCCTGTCAACTTTATAGGGTACATATGTGCATTGAAATGTGCAAAAATTAGCGCCGCAAGTATCCAGGACGGCTACTTGTGGGAGTGTTAGATGGGTGTGTTGGCACCCCCACATTTAAACATTCACAAGATAATTACTACAAATAACATCCCCTCCGCTTTTCTTTGCATTCTTGTGTGTTAGTTCTCATTAAGATTCAGAAATAAAGTATGCATAAACAACTTCATTTACAGGCAAATTCATTGTGCTAATGTTCGCTGTAGCAGTGTTCAAAATGCATAGGAAAGGCAGGAACCCAGCCAGTGGCATGACATGCTATGATGTACAGGTTACTTCGCAGTGCAAGTGTTCATTGTACTGGCGTTTGACTGTATATACAGATCTTTTGAGGATGACAGCATTTCATAATTTTGTGGTAATATATACCGCATTCTGTAAGCTCTAAAAGAGTGCAACCACTGTCCATGACATAGGAGCATTATACAATCCTTTCAATGTGTTAAGGCTTCACTTGTGTTACGCAGCGCTCGTAATGATTGATATGTGAGGTTTAACGTCGCAAAACCACCATATGATTATGAGAGACATCGTAGTGGAGGGCTCCGGAAATTTTGACCCCCTGGGGTTCTCTAATGTGCACCCAAAATCTGAGCACTTGGGCCTACAGCATTTTCGCCTTCATCGAAAATGCAACCGCAGCAGCCAGGATTCGATCCCGCGACCTGCCGGTCAGCAGCAGAGTACCTTAGCCAGTAGACCACCGCGGCGGGCTCACGGTGCCCGTAGCCCCTCAGACTTAATATAATGAGTGTAATTATTATTTAACAGATTAAGTGCATATTGGCCACTTTCGTTCATGAAATAAAAATTATTGATGCTTTTGAAAACTGACAAGGCCCACCTTGCACCTATCGCTGTTGCAAAGCTTCTCAAGGTCATTGCAGTCGTGGTTAACTATGCCAGTTTTCCCTTTTTAACTGCTGCACTTGTCAGCAATGGTCCAATCTTACCTCAGCAACAGCAAAAATGTTGCATTCTCGTACACTTTTAGTGGATGGGACAAACTTGATCTAACGAAGGCATTTTCGAAATAAGTATTATATGCAAGCTATGACGTGCATTTTTAGGGTGTGTTACACCAGGTTGCCTAGTGTCGCAATTCAGCAGTGATGAAAATTACAACTAGCAAAAACTAACAGCTATCATAACATGTTTGTTATTATTACAGCCACAATATTATATGTGGCACACACCTGCACAGGTTTGATTTCCTGAAACAAGACTTGCTGTTTCACCTAATCTAACAACCATGGTTTTTATGCACAATATGCATTTACTGCTGTAAATGTGCACACTTTTAGGAATACATTAGAATTACAGGCAAGTATTAAAACATACTACTCTGCTAGCAATCATGCTCACCTAAACACAGCCTCTAAGACTTCAGGAACTTTTTGTTGGGCCATATTCACGCAGCAACTTAAGTCCGCTCCTTGCTGCACTGGAGAGAAAGCTGAAACAAAGATATTCCAACAACATCCATTACATAGTAACATGCCTTGTGTCTAATAACGAAATGCAAAGCATATGTTACAGACTTTCAACAAGTTCTCATAAATCCATGAAGATGTTAAAAAAATTAGACAGCCTTGCATTATCAGCAGGCTTAAAAAGTGACTATGTTCAAGGATCAGCAAGTTTACTTACAGATATTATTGAGGTCAAAACTGCGTGGCCTGGAAGACAAAGAACTCCAATGTCACACGATCGGAAACAATGAAAATCAACAAATACTGTTGAAGCAAAAGCGAGTTGTCCTGGAAAATAAGACTGCCTCTATTGGGTAAACACTAGGCTGCCCCACAGCGATATCTCTAAACTTATCTCAAAGTAGATAAGCAGCCAGACAACAAAGCAGCACAGATAGCACCCCAGACAAAAGGAGGCATTCCGAAATTCTGTGTCCAACTGATAAGAAATTGCAAACCAGCACGGCGCACACTTCTCAAGAGGATCATTTCTGCAAATTCAGCAACGTGTACTCAGCGCCCTTCATTCACAGTGACCTAGCATTAAAAAAGAACAGAGTAACATTTTTTAGACGCAAATTATCTAAGTAAAGCACAGGGAAGAACACATATGCCATCTGTGTCCTCTGTTTTCTCATGCCCATTGTGATCAAAGTAGAAAAGGACACTGATACAATGCGGATAAAAGATATTGTTCCAGAGAATGAGAAAGTACAGGCAAAGTACAAATATAAAAAAATGAGCTACATTTTCCAGCATGCAAACAGATACACGATCGACAACATAATTTATTGCTTGCCATTTATTTAGCGGTGCGCACACAATCATACTGGCCCTTGATGTGCAGCTGCTTGTCATAGCATAAAATTTTGCTCTTTCTAACGTCTGAAACAAATTGCAATACTGTAAAAATTCCCTTAAAAATTCCAGGTTTTAAGCTGACCAAAAAGTGTTACAGATCAAAACACAGTGAGCATTAGTTTATGCTTGATCAATATGGTTAAGTAATGTGCATTGGATGACAATGAAACTGAAATAAAACTGTGTGGGTGACGGAACACATGCAAGGGAAGTTTAAAGGATGGGCACAGACTGACAACTGAATTTATTGAAACCATCAATCCCATTTCTGACAACACACGTGTACACAAGTACTCACGATATGAAATAAACCATGAAATTAAACCTTACCATGAAATTAAAGCTCTTTTTATGTAGATAAACAGGGGGGTTCACTAATGAAATTATCTGGACCAAGCCTCGAGATCACAGATCTATCTAGCCGCAGTCTAAGAAGACTCTCTTCAACTTATAAATCTTGTCACTAAAAGCTTGTCAAGAAGGGCATCTTGTCATGGGTCATCCTTCGTTAAATCCAGCCACCACACTGTCCCAGGACGGTGTCACCTCCCAGGTGGCAGATTTGCCAGAGGCTCTACTAAGGGCCAGAGCAGAGTTACTGTTGAAGAGCACTTGTAGGTGTAGTGCAGCTTATTGTGGTGACTACACAGTAGGAGCAGAAAGGAGAGGATTTGTGGTTTTGCACTACGTCTACAAACTTTCACATGGTATTAAGGAAGTGGCAACGAAATTTGGTTTGGAAAATTTTTGTTCAGCATTATAGTTGTCTTACGTGTATGCTCTCAGGAGGGTTAGCTGCGGCATGAACCGCAAATAAAAGTTTCATAGAATGCAAAGTGGAGCTGGTCTACGAAATTTCACTGAGCTGTAGCAGAGTCTTTGTGAGCCAAATGGGAATATGCCTGAATAAGTGCCTCCTTGAGCATTCGTGTGCTGCAAGTACAGATAATGAACAACACTTGATGGCACATTGTAGGCCATGTGCTAAACGCAAGCCACTTTCTGAGCAGACAAAAGTCTTGGAGTGTGCCAAAGAAAAAAAAAGGGCACAAAAAATATTGGAAGTGCCCGTGATCTTAAAGCTTGGTCCAGACAAGTGCATTAGTCAACTCTCTATTAATGTACACAAAAGAGTGAATTTTTAGGATAAATAAAGGGCCTTCGCTATAGTGTGTGATACTGCCGCAAATGCTTGTGCCCATGTGTGCTGTCAGACATGGACGTATGATGTTTTAAATGAATTCATTTGTTAGTTTGCGAATGTCTGTCAGCTTCTACTTGTGCTTCATCATCCACGCAGTTTTATTTCAGTTTCAGTATGCTTAAGACAAAACGCAAGGCAAAAGCATTTCAGGACAGGAAAGCGTGCCACTGAGACTCCTGCATGTGTGGGCCCCGTCTTTCCAATATTTGCATGCTCTAAAAGCAACAGTTCCTTAGCACGAGAATCAGTGGAGGCTTACTTCATCAATGTGATACTTGTGCCAGTGACCCTGCTGGAGCAATCATGCTCCAATATTTTTAGAGCATGACTGAAAAAAACACGTTTTTATTTTTTGTTAGGCTATTTCGTACAAGTTTTCCCGCACACCTGGCCATCTCTTATACAAGCAAATCTGTCTGCTTCAAGTAAATCTAGTTACAACTGATGTTCTCTTCTGTCCTGAACTCGTTTCACCTTGGGTCGTATCACTGATTGATCAACAATTGAATAGCGGGATACAATTTTATTCGCAAATTAGTTCTGCAGAAACCCACACATTGGCAGAAGAGTTAAGAAAGGGAAAGAAGACAACCACCCAAATGTAACACGAAGCCACAAAGAAATCCGTACGGATTTCCTTGTGGCTTTGTGCTACGTTCAAGTGGTTGCCTTTTTTACCTTTTTTAACAATTTTATCTCCAGTAACAATGGGGTGAATGACCATCTTGAGCTGCGACTGCCTTATGTTTGTGTTCCCATGCTTTTGGTTGATCTACACATACACATCTTAATTGACACATACCTTTTAACTCATCATGATGTGAATCACTTATGCCGAGCACCTAACAGGTACACTCCTATGATGAGCTGATAGGCACCTATGGACACTGACATTGTTCACTGTAGTGTGAGGCACAAGTAAGTTTGGCATGGCTTAAAACATCACATATCTTATGTCTCATGCATGAGTTCACGAGGTTTTAATTTTAGTTGGATTTCATGTACGACAACGCTTGGCCCAGCACTTATCTTTATATTAAGGAATATCAGTAAAATTTAATTGGATTGTTTCTGCACTAAATAATAGTTGGAGCAAAAGGCACTTTATGTGTTTATGGTTAAATATATCGCTTGCTAAATTTAATGTAAACTTTGAACATCCCAATAAAAATTATAAGCTACTTCATGCATGAACGGGTTTTTACTTGGATGCATCAGTCAGCCTGAGCAACATTCACTTGAAGTTCATGGTATCGCCTTATATTATTCCAAGCACACAATTAAAAAAAAAGTATGTGTGCACCCAACAATTTGTGTGACGATCTCGGCTGTGCAGCTTTATATATATATATATATATATATATATATATATATATATATATATATATATATATATATATATATATATATATATATATATATATATATATATATATATATATATATATATAGTTCGGCTGAATTTTCGTCCATGTAGCAGCTTTCAAAGAGAGACTAAAGTTCCGCCTCCTGCTGATATGTGACGGATATGCAGGGCTCATACGACTCATTCAGTTGCAGCATGCATGCAGACGCACGAAGCATGCAGCCACGTCATGCCGGTCGAAACTGCGCGCGCGCGTAAACAGCACGGCCGTTATGTGACGACATGCGTGACGATAAAGAAACACTGTGCAGTGTCGCAGCGGTTCGTGCAATGCGACTCGCAATTGCGGCAATAAACGCGATGCCGCCTCTTTACAGCCGCGGTACTTCGCAATCGGGGCAGCTCGCGCATCCGTGGCTGCCACACGCACAACTCGTGGGATATGTATCTAGGTTATATCATTCCGCGCGTTGAAGCGGCGCGCGGTTTCCCGGTTTACGCAGGTATCACCTGTGTCATTTTCGATCGCAGTTTCCCGGTTTACGCAGGTATCACCTGTGTCATTTTCGATCGCGATTGGGCCCCATCAGGATCGAATTTCTTGCAATCGTGATTGGCTCCCTTCACGCAAGTTGCCGATCGAAAGGGGGCAATGATTAAACTTTGATCCTAATCGGGCTTAATGGCGATTAATAAAGCACCGTACGCGTGGCCCCGGCATTATTGATTACATCGGCGCACACGATTAAATGAGGATCGTTTAATACAACATGAAGATATAATTTTTCAAAAATTTATCCTGCGATGAAAGTTTTCATGAGAAAAAAAAAAAAAGACGAAACCTCGGAATACGTACAGCCGCAAAAAAAAACGCCGATAATTAAACAATTAAAGGAACAAATAGATGAACGAATGTGGAATCGAGTGCAAATGAAATGCGATCGCTCCGGCCGTGAAACGACTAAACGATGCGTTTTCCGCCTAGAGAGAATATCGAAAGGCGTGCGAAATACTACAGCGAGTACAAGCATAACGTGCCCGAAGACACACAGAGCGAAACAGCTAGCTTGCGTGGCGCTTACCCAGACGGGGGGAGACGGACCGGTGATGCGCAAGGATCAACGAGCGCAATGAGCACTGGCACCGCCCCCCGCGTCCCGCGCGTGCCACACCGGTTTATTGCACACGGCACGTGAAGTACCGTGTGGACTTATGGACACACTCGCGCTAGGCGACACAGTCTAACGTTTTACGCGTCGCTAATGCTTTCGCAGCTGCTGAACGTTGATGCGAATGCTGTTGGTGTGATTTTACAAGGCCCCATTCATTTGATCTCTCGCGTATGGCCGTATGGCTTGCGCAACTTGTGCATGATTGGCTGGAATTGAACAAGCGAGTCTGAATGTATTCAGGCTGATATAGTGTAGTAGCTGCTGCCATCTATTTCACTCAAAGAAATATTTTTGTTTAGCGACAATTTTCTATTTTTAGCCTTGATTATTTAATAGTGTAAATAATTTTTATGCAATTGTTGTCTCACATCTTTTTGTCACACAAAAGACTAAAGAAGAGGCTGCCAAGGAAGGAGTAGGTTAGTTATCTCTCCAGTTTTATAAAACACTGGCGCAATGGCGGCAAATAAGGTAAGAATGCAATTGTGGTCGAATTGTTCTAATTTTGCTCGCTGTTGCGTTGCTGATCCTGCATATAGCAACAAAACAAGGATATTATTCACAATACATGGCACACTTAGACGCCGTATTCATGCAGTTTTTTTTTTTTAAATATTCGGTTCTTATTTACCTCGTGAGAAGAACCGGCGCGCGCTTTAGCGCGCGTTCTTGTTGACAAA